GAATTTTATGAATCATATCATCATATCCCATAATTCACATCATAATATCCCCATGATCTCTTAGCATATTTAGCTACCCTTTGGTAATTTAGCAGTTCACTATTGAAAATGGCCATTTAGTTCGTTGATGCTCCTGAAAGTCATGGCGACAGGAGCTGATCCAGCGCATGAACCGGGAGGCCGACGTGCGCAAGGGGAACATCACCAAGTGGGGGCCCCAGGGATTCTGTGGGTAGTAACCTGTAGTAACCCTAAATCCGCTTAGTAACCCTAATAAATCCCAGTAAATCCACCAAGGACCGATCATTTTGGAATGAGATGTCAAAACCGAACAACAATTTGTCGACCAATTAGCTTGTTGCGAAGACATCCGAAGACATGGCCATCATTCCGGAGGCATTTTTTTGGGATGGTGAACTGGCAGTGTGTCAAAACCTTGTACCCCTGGTGAACATCAAAATAGCTGGTAAATGGATGTTCATCCCATTAAAAATGGTATTAATAGGTATTGATCCATACCCAACTACAGGGTTTTAGTTCGTGAACTGATGTGTTCCGAGGGTTCCAAACAAATGACAGCCACCTTTGGGAGGATGGGAGCTTTCCCGCAGGTTCTGATAGGGCACAACAGGACGTTCAGAGTAAAACCCAGTGCAGTCTTGCCCACAAGCCTTGTTTGCCGTGGTTCATTTGAGCTTCAACTGGAATGGGTATGGCCATATGGTACCGATGTACAGAACCACAACATTAAACAACTATCCAATTTCGGAGCCAATCAGCTTTTGAAAACGTCAGTTCAAACGAGGTTTCTTAAGATGGCACTACTGCGATGCCCAAAACCCTGTGCCGAGGAAGCAGCTGCAAAATCACAAGCACAAGAAATTCGTGGTGGCGGACAAGATTGTTGCTTGGCTTCAATTCAGATATCCCGCCCACAGAGATGGAGGTATGGGCTCAAAACCGCACCATGAATGTATCAACTCTTGAGGCGCTTCGCTATCATTTTGAAACCATTTCAGTGATATCTTAACCCCAAAAAAGGGAAAGATGCAATGGGCACTTCTCATTGACCGTGTTGGATACCCTGCATGAGATAGTCTAAGATGGTCGGTCAATTGGTATGTTTGCCATCGATATCCTTTTTTTCATTTGCTATACCCCAAAGATACTCCGGGTGTTGAATGACCATAGCGCATGTTGGTTGTCATCACCCGAGGTGCAAGGTGGTAAGGCCTCCTATGAGTGGTGGTCTGAGGACCAGGTTGGACCCGGGTTGAGCGGAAAACATCGTTTTGGTTGATGGTAACGTATGCTGTTATGTATAGATACGTGTATTCGTATATACATGTATTCGTATATATATGATATACACACAAAACAACTGTGTATATATATATATATATCAATACCAAAAGAAAATGACAAATTGGAAACCTGGAAAAAATGTGGAACACATCATCTTTACCATCCCGGAAACACCTTTGTATTTTTTTTGGTTGCTGTAATATGCCCGGGAACCCATCCAACAGCAAGCCTCCAACATTTTGGCCCATCGCAAGGTACTGCAATGCGGTGCAACGTGATGTAAGGTAAAGGAATTGTGTTTATTTTAAATACACATATATGTATACAGTATATAAAAAAGGCAGGCGTACTCAAAGATAGTGTGTCACATACAGTACCAACTTTGATATGGTACTACCAGGTTTCAGAGGAAATGGACTACTGCCCACTTGACAATGCAGTTATGGATGAAACAGAAACAGGGTCAGGATGATCCCGATAGATGTGTTGTTGTTTTTTTTCTTCCCCCGTTTATGTAGTAAAAACGACCAGACGTTTGAACCCCTTGAACCTCTCAAGAATCAGAAAGTCGTTTTTGGTCGTAGAAACGATCTGTGAATAGACTTTGTTCTAAGGGATTCAACCACCCCCCCCATTTCGGTGCTCCCAAAGTTGCTTCGGAAAAACCACCGCAAGGCCAAGAAGGACAAACTCTCGGACTTCGAGAATCTGGCCACCGCCCCTAAGGAGCTGAAGACCAGTTTATGTGATGCATTTTAAAGATTTTTAAACATTATCTTATCATTATCCCATTAGAATCAGAAAAGATCCCGTTCAACGACAAATTTTCATATCCCATTTCTATTGGAATTTCACTGTCATTATTGTCCTATGAAAAATCCCATGGATCGATGGATTTTAGTATCTTCATTATCCCATTACATCCAATTCTTACTGATTTTAGTATCATTCTTATCCCATGATGGGCCCCTTCTTATTGATTTCACGAGTATCATGGGATCACATTAAAACCGCTCATTGGTTTTAATATCCTTCTTCTTCCATTATAATGATATTCCATTATTATTGGTATTAGTATCATTCTTATCCCATCATATTTTGTTTGTTGTGGTACCCTTCCATGCAGTACATTGACAACAACATGATCCAAACGATATGGAATTGACGGTTGTTTCCTGTTTGGAAAAGGATCTGCAAAGGGTGGTTGTTTTCCATATCTATGTTCATCTAATGGAGGGTATGTACATTTACGGGCATTTAGGGATCCTTTCTGCTGAGCTTTCTTTTCAGTGAGAGCCGAGACTTGTGACCAACTTGGGAATGATCAAATTAGGACTCCTTCAATATATATGCATGCATGAACATACGTACATGGTATATAAACGGCTGGGCGGTGAACAAGCAAACTAACCAGCAATCAAACAAACACAGAATATGTCTCTATGCTCACACAATACGCACAACTTGATCGTACATGCTGATTACAGCTGCATGTGACTGTATGTGCATACTAATATAACTATGTATACATATATAGAGATAGAGGCAGGCATATATAGATTCACTAGGTAGTTGTGCACAGATTTTGTTGACTTTGTTGGCTAGCCAGCTATACAAAGACCCTTGAGGTGGTCAGAGGGCCTTGGCGGCCTGCGTTCCTCAAATCTCATGCTTTATGTCATGATCTTGCCATGAACATGGTCATATTTTGGAGTGAAATCGCTGATTTCAGAGCCATTTGTTGAGTGTTTTTCATGGATGTGTGTGATTGGGGTATACCTCAAATAGCTATCTGAAAATTTAGGGGTGCCCTATTTTCTGCTTCCGTCCCAGGAGGACCTTATGGATTTGGCGATGTTCCGCAAGACCCTGGTAGAGTCGCTTGCTGCGATGCTAAGAATGGTGGATTTTTGTCAGCCAAAATGTGGTAGTTAAGTAATGAAAGAAAAGCTGGAACCTCGTAACCATGAATCACTTGTTGCTCTTCAAAATCGGGATTTCATGTATTTGGGATATGGGATATGCCATTGGGATATGGATATATTTTGTGGTGATCATGTGGAGAAATGGGGGATTTCTGCATCTAACCAGCAAGTCTGTAGTGGCCGCAGATACCACAAACATGGCAAGCTGGTAAATCCCCGAAAACTCAATGCAGGTTTATAGCTGGGAAATCTTCGATCAATGGTGGATTTTCCACTTCGCTATGTTAAAGTACCAGAGGGCATTCTTCTAATTGGAGACTATGAAAAACTAAAACATAATTTATGGCTTTTGGGTACCATTTTGGGAAAACCTTGGACCGGCTGCTGAGCTGGGGTCGAATGGGGATATCATCCCAGAAACTCTGGTGGGCTGGAGTGGATCTGTGATTTTTGAGGTTCCATGGAGTAGGAGTTATCATTCGGGTGTCAGACCATTCAACCAAAATTGGTCTGGATTTTTTCCCCAACAGCGTAAGCTAATGGGGTCTTCAGCCCAGAACAGCTCCGGTGTGCACTGGTGCAGGCCCCGGATCAGGTTCAACAGGGTTCCGGAGAAGGTTTCGAAGAAGGTCTGGGAGGCTTTGGTGCAGAGCCAGGTCAGGTTCAACAGGGTTTCGGAGAAGGTTCCGGAGAAGATTCCAGGAAGCCTTGGTGCAAAGCCAAGTCAAGTTCAACAGGGTTCCGGAGAAGGTTCCGGAGAAGGTCGAGGACGCTTTGGTGCAGCCAGGTCAGGTTCAACAGGGTTCCGGAGAAGGTTCCAGTGCTTGGCTTCGCAGCACGCTTCAGAAAGATTCGTAAACATAAAACGTTGCGGCTGTTGGGGATACCAACGAAGCTTATTGGCATTACTGTACCAGGACTTTGGCTGATTTTATGGATAATTTTCACTCCGCAGTGAAAGAAGAGTTGGGTACTTCACCCACAGAATATGACGGCGGTATGCCATGCTTCTTGAAGCGCCCCTGGTGCCTAAGGCACAACATCGATCCCAACCAGTTTGGCGTCGGCAAGGCGGTGGATGAGTAATGTGGGATGGGGGATTTTTTTGTGGAGTCATCCGGTCGATGATCTTCTGCAAGAGGAATGTGAAAAGATCCAATTGATCCACTGTTGCCAACCGCCAACACTGATCCGATTCTATTCGGTTTGCAAGCCGAAGGGTGAAGCAGGATTTCGATTTCCCACACGCCACTGCCAAAGAAAGGTCACACGGGTTGCTTGATTTTTTTAATGGATGTCCCGCCTTGAATTTGCCTTACGCTCAAGATCCTTTCGATCCTTTCCTTCATGGATCATGGTGAGTATATTTCCCATATTCTTGCTATTATCTATTTTCAGTCAGAGCACTCCAAATGTTTGCGTTCCCCAGTTCTTTCACTATGTCAAACTTTTCCTTTTGGTGCCAACATCACTTGAAATGGTGGTTCAATAGTACTTGGCCCCCCAAATTCATGTGATGTTTGTAGCTAGATCATCTGGTCGGAAACCTATGTATGTACTGGAATGGCCCACCTACGGTCAGTGTGGAATCATATGCGCAGGATATATGTGTATTTATATATATATATAATAATACGATCCATAGTATATGTATATACATGCATTGTATATATATATATATAAATATGTATGGACAAAATGTCATACATAGAATTCTAATGCATGACTTCTCGTTAATCGATTTACAGATGTCGTGTTCTCGAGTTGTCGAGGCCAAAGGCATTGAACAATTGGCCAAGGAGGTGGAAACTGGCGCCAGCAGGCGGAAAGAGATGGAAGTTCGTTCGCGGAAAAGAGAGATGTCGATATCTTGATTTAAGCGGATAAAGATCAACTATGGGGATATACTATTGGGATATGTTATGATTGTTATTGGCGATATGATGATCATGTCCAGAGGGGGGATTTCAATGGAGATCGCAGGGAAAATGGAACATCAATGGGCCAGTAATAGCTGGGCTATTGAGCAGCAATCATTTGGATGGGGATTTCTTTATTGTGGCTTTGCCGTTTAGAAATGGATTCGTATAAAACATTGCAAAAACCCAGCATTTTAAGTGGGGCCATGATGGGATACCATGGGGATATAGAAATGGATGTTCCCAACCATATTATGATGCGGGGTTTTTCAACACGAGGCTTTGAAACCAAACCATTGGATTTGGGAGAAAGTCAACTTGAGCACCAAAGTGGTTGTAAGTGGGGTATGTGTCCTGCATTTACTACAGCATGGAGAACCAAGCACTTCCAAAATGGGAGATTTCTCGATGCCAGAAGTGCTGGTCCCTTGGCTCCTTGGGTACCCACCCTTGAATCCACGAATTTCATCATAAACCACCCATGACTGGGAATGGTAACCATAGAACCTAGTGACATGGTGATGACTGGGGGATGGTTTATGATTATGGCATTGTTAAAAAATCCGCATGAAAGAGGAATCCCCAAATAGATATTGCGCAGTTTCTTTTTTGCCAGGACATTGTTGATGCTGTCTACACTAATGGGTATTATTATTTACCCACATTAGTGGTGTTTCTTCTTTTTCCATCTCGTGGTCTCGTGGGGCTCGACCCCTCGACCGGACCTTGCATGGGACTTTTTTCACCAGCTGTGCCTTTGTCAAAGCTCTCCGTTGGTTGATTACTGTATACAATATATATAAATATACACACTAGTATATGCATATACATTATGTATATACATATGTGGGCAAACTATAACGACCTCACTGCAACCTCACTGGAATGATGGTTGATAGTCAATAAGACGAATCATCCCCAAATGGCCTTGATTCAAGTTTGTGGAATATTATAATTTACCCAAGAATATATATAACGAAAACAGGCACTGCAAATGGTTCCATTGAGATTAAATTATGGACTTATCTATGAAGAGGATGACAACACCTATCAGAGCTCAAGCTCATGCAAGCTAATTCAAAGTTCCGGAACCCGCTGTAAGCCCGCTTGTGGAAGCTGTTTACGCGAGAAATAGCAGCCGCTCGGGCATTCTGATTCTGCACAATGCGAATTGACATGAATTTACGTGATATGGGTATGGATCAATACCTATTAATACCATTTTTAGTGGGATGAACATCCATTTACCAGCTATTTTGATGTTCACCAGGGGTACAAGGTTTTGACACACTGCCATATCGGTCCAGTAAGCAGGTGATATCAACCCATAAAATGCTGACGAAGTCTTGGTTGACCCAGGGAAACTCTGGTTGACTGACTGGTTGCGTGAGGCTCATGCTGGATGCGCAACAGCATAAGAAGTTGGCGCGCTTGCCCAATGTGGTTGTGGGGGCTGTTGGTTTGTGCGAAACCGGGAAATCCGAATCCTCAACATGCACATTGGTGGCTACACACATTGTTAGGTGAGATCAAATGCCGAAAATCGTCGTTCTCAGGATTTTTGATGATTTTTCTGGAGATCTTATCCAACTTTTCCAGGTATCAGCAAGGTATATCCCCATTTTCGGTACATCTTACCTCATTGAAATGGTACAGACCTTCCAGGTGCGAGTGGTGGACATTGTGGTTCTGCAGGGGCACCCGGGGCACCCAGATGGAGTCCAGATGGAGTGGAGGAAAACATCCACTGGGGGGTTCTTGGTCATGAACCACTTGCTTTAAAAACTGGGAGACACCCTTAAGTAGAGAAGCGAGAGAAACTGGAGGTTGATACAAACAACAACAACTGGTGACTGTTCTTGTTTCCGATTTAAAGATAGCTTAGATAGATATTCAGGATTTTGCCAACATGGCGATCAGAAAATCGCCAGTGGGAATGGATGGGAAGGCAGCTGCATGGGGATGCAATGACAAAACATATGCAGTGTTCAGCCACAAAATTCAGGGTATGGTTTAACCATGGATACAGCTTTAAATCATGAATGTGGTAAACCCAATTAAACGTTCAAGTTTTCATGGTTTGTCATCACCCATTTCTGACAAGTCATTTGGGATGGTTTGTGGCATTGGGTTTACCACATGAAACGGAGGGGGTTCAGATTCCTGTGATTATAAGGACAATGATGATTCACCTATTCATTGATTTATTTGCTCATTTATTCATTAGATACATAACTACTGTAATTAGATCGATTGATTTCTTTATTCATTCAAACTGTATGTGTATATGAAATTATATGAATACATATACATTTATATATAATATACACATAATATATGTATATATAATATATATATATATCTATATATACTATCTCCATATAAGACACCTGACTCACCAAAACCCAGGAAGCTTCGCCCAAGCGACGGCTCGCGGCTGCTGGTGGAGTTCAAGGAGTGGAGCATAAAGAATTAGATAAAACACTAAAGGTTGGTCAATGGTCAATGGGTTGAAGGGAAAGTCGGACATCATGGTTTTGACCTCTAAATATGGGGCTGAATTCTGGGAAATTACAGCAAAAATGGATGGTAAAGGCTGACACATGGTGCCCAACATCTGCGGGTAGCCTTAAAATTTGACCCATACCCAGCCAGTCGCAGAAACTCTAGCGACTTGGTTTCCTCAAAGATGAGTCACCATTGCTATTGGTGATTGAAACGGCATGGGACCACCAGAAGACTAGGTCGGAGTGTCCGACTGGGTTTCAGACCACATGGTTGGTGAAAGCTTGGCATTGTGTTGCTGAATTCTGAAATGCAGATTTGTAGCTAGGGCACCCATTTTTGGTGGATAAATGGTCCAATTTCAGCTGGTGACATTCCAATTCTCAGACCGAATCCTAGTTTTTGCTGGTCGTATACAAGAAAACGCATGTTAACTTCCTATTTTGGTTGGTGAGATTGTCCATAAACCATGGTCATTCACCAGTCGAACCGCCGGTGTACCTTCTCACTTTTGCGCTTACTGCCAAACTCCCAAATTTCGATTGATCAACTTTTGTTTTGTTTTTATTTTTTCAATCCGATTCTTGAGCTGCTTGAAGGCTTAGATCTCATTTGTTGCACGCCAAACTCCCTCATATTGAATCGTTCCCCTCCAGAAACATATGGACCTACCATCGAATGCGAAAACATGTTTGTTTTCGATATCTATAGCCATGATGTGTTCAGGAGCAGTTCCCTGATGGTCGTGAACGCGAGACCCTGCGGCTGCCGGGCACAAAGAAGGTGCCCGAGAATTGTCGACTGGGGGTAGAAATGGTGGTTACCAAGGCATTTTACGGCGATTTTACCCGTAAAATGTGTGGGATGTGCCCCCTAGGGCCATTAAGAAGGGAAACATGTGATAAACCATGGGATGAAATGGGGTAGCTTCTGGGCAAACCTATACTGGCAAGTCTTGGTGTAGCAACCCCCGAGTATACACATGTCTATCCAGAATATATATAGATAAATAAATAAATAATCAAATAATTAAATAAATAAATAAACAAATTAAGTTAATAAATAAATAATTAAATAAATAAAAACATAAGTAAATAAATGAATTAAAAAATAAATAAATAAATACATACATAAATAAATAAATAAAAACATAGATAAATAAATAATTAAATAAATAAATACATAGACATGGAACAGATTCTCAAGGCATCAGCCAAAATGTCGTGGACATCTCCATAAGCTCCTGACAATACTGACTTTCAGGTCCGAACAGCCTCTTTTCTGTCATATCTGGTTATTCATAGCCATGGTCAACTGCCAGGAACCTCATGAGAATGCGAGGCACGGCTGGCGCGGATGCGATATTTTTGGGCACTCAACGAATAAATTGTGTGAGTTTGACGTGAATGATGTGAATAGCAACAACAACAATGATAGTAATAATAATAATAATAACAACAATATATATATATATATACACATATACCTTTATTATAGATCTACAACCTACTGTGGATGGAATAAATCCTGCACCACTTGGTAGATGCTCTATCTTGTCATAGTCCCATTATTTACAGTGTTTCATAATTACCAATAGTTGCCAACTGGTGCAGGATTTCTTCCATCCACAGTAGGTATATGATATGCAAATACACATCCATGCCCTACGGCTTTACATCCATTCCATACAACAAAGCGCAACCCTTGAAGAAGACAGTGATGAACCAGACCAAAAAACAGCCATTTGGGGGTTCCTACAAACCATCCCAAACGGTGTACCCAACAATTACCCCAAATTTGGTGCTGGTCTCGGTGCATCCCAGTCATAAAAAAAGCCTTGGTTAGGGGTCAAGACTGGTTTCCTGCAGGAATTTGGATGCTTTATCGAACTGCAAAATTTGAACCGAGGGGCAATCCCCACACTTGACAAACAATAGGTATATGATGGTATGTATGTCATACCAAATCGTCCCCCCAAATTCTTTGTCAAGGTATTGTTGGATGGTTGATATCAGCAAATCTTTGGCTGAGTGCCTTGAGATGGGCGTAATTCAATTGACAACATCATGTGGTCGGCTTTATCCTTTTTCCTCCTACTGCTCCAATACATCCCCTAGAATTTGGTCTTATACATCCATTTTGAAGGACAATCCAATAATCGCTGGTCCCAATATATATATATATTTATATTTGTATATTTCGATATGTATATACCCCCCCTTGTTACTGTTTATACTCACCTTCCCAGCGGTTGGATGTTTCACCCGGCAGGCAGACCTCCGAACGAATTCTGCGGGAGATGATGAACATGGATCCCAGCATGGTGCGAGACCCGAGATGAAGACATCACTTGGTTGGTTGGTTGCTTGCTTGCTTGGTTGGATTCTAGGGGTTTATATAGGGGTTCATAAGGGATTTTGATAACCCATAATAGGATTCTTTACTAACCAACTAGTATAATGGGTTACCCGAGGGTAAACGAACAGTTCGATGTGGAAATTCAACCATTTGTAGACTTTTTTGCTGGGGAAACCATGTGTTTTCCACATCTATTTCCACATCTATGTTATAGAATGGGCTGTCGCCCAGGTGCGTGTCCGTAGGTTTTCCAGGCCGATACAAACAGGTTTGCGGGACCCATTGCGGCCTGTATAGAAAAGCCTTCGAAAGCTGCAGCGGATGGTTTTAAGCTTTTGGGGGTTTTAGAGGTCATTAAAGCGTGCCACGTAGGAGTTTGTAATGTTTTGGCGTACTTCGGCCGGGGCTACCTTCGAAAGCTGCAGAGGCCGCAACCGTGGTTCGGAGCCTTCGAAAGCTTTTGTGGAAGGTTTCGAGCTTTTGAAGCTTTTAAAGGGCGCGTAAAACGTGCCACGTGTACCATGGTGCTGTATACAGGAAATAGAAACAGTTTGTGGGGCCTAGGGTGGTACCAGACGGTTTTGAGCTTTTGACGCTTTCAAAGGTGCCGAAAGCGTGCCACGTAGCAGTTTCGAAACCCAATAGAAACAGTTTGCAGGGACTAGGGGCCCATGGTACCGCACAGAAGAGCCTTCGAAAGCTGAAGCCTACGATTTTGAGCCTTTGAAACGTGCCACGTCGCACTTTCGAAACCTATAATCTAGGGAGGCACCATGGTGCCGTATGAGGAGCCTTCGAAAGCTGCAGCGGAGGGTTTTGAGCTTTTGAAGCTTTTGAGGCTTTTAATAAAAAGGCGCCTAAAACGTGCCACGTAGCAGCTAGGCAGGGGTCGGCGGATTTCAATAGGGGTTTTCAGTATCGAACTCTGGGGATATAAGTGGATATGACTGATAAATGAATGATGGCTGATTGATGATGAGTTTGGGGGGTTGACCATCATTTATATTATATATATATATGGATTGTCACTATATAATAAATAATGGGATGTATGGAGATGATTAGTTCGGGGATGATACTAACCAATATATAGCGGAATATCATCTTCCATTAGGGAAATCCCGTTCTCAACTGGGGGGATGAACATCCATAATCAGCCGAATGCTGATGCAAACCCGCGGAATCTAGTGTTTTGATCCATAGCAACTTGCTAAAAAGATATTGTGTTGGGGGTAATCAGCTGCGGTATGGTGTTTTTCTGTAAATCCGGAGGATTCCCAGCATTTCTTGCGGGTTTCCCCGGATGATCTCGAACTGCCTTGCCGGGACACGGCATCAAGATCACCTTTTCTTGTGTGACTCTTTCGTATATAAAATCACAATTGTGTGGGAGAAGGTTTCCTCATTTTTATGGATCAAATCCACTTCCTCCTTGAGACGCTTATTCAGAAAATTTATCCTTATTTCCATCGGAACCATCTTCCGGTTTGGATGTCGGAAAGATTTTCGTTCAACATATTCTACGCATTTTCTGCGAATTGGTCAAAGGAATGATTCCCGGAAAAAAACACCTTAACATTTGGATGGTAAATTCATTGTTTCCCTTCTGGATTTCCATGGAACACCAGCCAATGATTATCATGTTTGTTGGTGAAATTCACCCATTGTTGTAGGTTCCAAACTCCCCCAGCGGTTCAATATCCTTCCATTGAAATGGCCATAAAATGGGGTACCACCCATGACTTGAGACCCGTTGAGCCATCGCTTCAAGTGATGTTGAAAGTGCCGGGAATGGGAACATCGATGGCTCGCAACTTGCGGACCGCCTCCCCATGGCTAGGGTTAGCGGTTAGCTCTAAACCTGCCAAATCCTGTCAAAACCTTTGATGTATGGTTCATTTTTCATTTTCTGGCATGAAAGAATGCATTTTTTGTCAGTCTGCATTTTTCTTCACTTCTCTAGTATTTCAAAGAAACCCAAACAGTTGGACAATTGGACATCTGAAGGCTATTTCACGTGTTTTTAAGGATTACACTATATTAATGGGTAATTTCAACTTATATAATTAATAACGTTTTGCCAAATTTAACCCATCAATTCATTTGAAGTCACCAAGTGATTTTGTTCTTTTTTCATGGTGTGATCCCCTCTGTGGCACATATTCTGATGTTGTTGGAAATTATAGTTGGTTTCTAAACTATTCAAACTATCTTGATATATCTACCATAAACCAACTTAGAAATGAAAAGGCACAAACCTAAACTTTCGGAATATCTACCATAAACCCAACCGTTATTGAAGTGATGCTTACCAACTTAACAACTATCGAGCTTCGAATCGCCTAGGTAAGCTTCGACTTCACCGCAGTGGAGCGACAGGAGGAGGAAACGGACTCACCCAGCTTCCCAGCCACTGGGCCAAGGGTTGGTAAAAGGGGGATAGAACTATACTTATATGAGCTATGGTCAATACTCATGGTTAATAACCATTAATAGGGGCTAGTCATCCAATGGTTCATAGGGATTTATAATAACCATTATAAGGATCCTTATTATGGATGGGATGACCATCAACCATATAGTGAGTATTGACCATGGCTCATATAGTTTAATGAGTTTATGAACTTATAAACCAACGGCTTTTGGCTTTTGGCTGTCTTTTAGGGCTTTTCATAATCACCTTCTTTGTCTTTTGTAATGATTTGGTCACATGTTTGGTGGTTCAATGGATGGAGGTTGACCAGTTCCAGCGTGCTTCATGGGGTCAGCAGTGGCGAAGTGTGAGTTTTTTTCCCTCTCTCGGGAGTGCTTATCACGATTTTCTACTAACAAAATTGGAGACACCCCCGAAACTGGGTTGAGAAACCCGGGAACTTGGTCAATTCCACCAGAAAGTGGGTCCGGGATGAAGTTGCCTGCGCCGCGCCGAGGGAGTGACCACGGTCTACCGCAAGGAGTTGGTGGAGTGCAAAGTGGCCACCACGGAGAAGGCATGGATGACTGGCATCCAAAAAAGGGGGTTTCCATACCCCGCTGGATGGTTTAGTTCATGGAAAATCCTATCTATAAATGGATGATTTGTGGGTACCACTATTTTCGGAAACCACCATATATACATTCTATAGTTATGGTATAGTATAACATAATGCGATACAATATGATGTAATGATATGATATTGATATTGATATGATATTGAAATGGATATGATATATGCTATATGATATATGATATTTGATGTATGATATATGATATATGATTTATGATATATTATGCATGCAATATGATTTGATATATGATATGATATATGGTACTATATATGACATGGTATATGATATGTGGAAACTGATGTGATATGTTATGATATGTTATGACATGATATGATATGATCTGATATTACATTACATTGCATTACATTATATTATATTACATTATATTATGTTATATTATATTATACTATATTATATTATATTATATTATATATTATGTTACTTTACATTATATGACATTGTGTACGATTATACATATGTACATATGTATACACGTGAACATCTGGAGTATGTATTCTGTAATATAGACACAGATCTGCTAATATCTACGTCCAATATACATGTCTAATATCAAGGTACAATATGTAAGCCGAGTATCTTTATCTATCTATATGCACACACACACACATGAAACATACGAGTATATATATATAAATACATCATATGATATGTCTATAGGAACCGTATACTATATGTGCGTATGTATACATATGTATGTATATACAGTAAAAAATACATATATATATATAATATATGTATACATCATGGCAAGCAGGGATCATACCCCAAACTTTGGGCGACCCTTTTTCACCCTGCTGAAGCAAAAAGTTCATTCAGCCACTGTTCTTTCTGACCCAGAAACATGTCCGCAATTGCGCCCATGGTCTGTTCCGGCTTTGCTGACCAGGCTATTCAAGAGAAGGCGCATGGGGTCAACGGCCATCCGGCCATCATCCCTTGATCAAAATAGTTGTTCTTCCTGCCATTTCTGCCTTTCTGGGACCTATGCAGATTCTGTTCTCTCAGCTTCTTGGGGGATTTCGGATCAACCCAGTTGCTAAAGAGTGGGATCACGTTCCTCATCATCTTATGGGTCTGGATCAACATCGGACACGCTGTGACTCCAAGGTTATGGTCATTGGTAGCGATGAATTCACAAATTTAACTTTGGGTAACCTAATGACTGTCTGCTTGTGTATCCAACTTTGAGTCACTTGGTCATTTGTTCATCTTGAGTCACATCATCACATATCCAATTTTAGGGATCACTATTCCAGGTGGGCTTGCCTGCCATGAGTCAGTGGAATGCCACTGATCCCCAGGCGCGGTTAGTCAGCTGGGATGACCGGGTTCTTAAGTGGCAGATGGAAATATGGTTTTATGGGGAAAAACATATGGAATAAGTGGGTGTGTGTATATATATATATATACATATATATATATATACATAGATATATGGATACCGGGTTCTTCAAAAAAAAACAGCGATCCTATGAAGTACCACACTACAGACGTCGTGTCCCCCCCGTCCCCCAACTCATGTTGTCTTGTGAATTTTGTGTTTGGCGGCCTTCAAGAAAAACAGCCATTTCTGTTGATGATGCGCGGCACTTCCGATCACAACATTGAAGTTGGGGTTGTGGGGGAAGGTAAGGTATCTATGTGGTTTCCTGTGGATGGCTGTTTTTTTTTTTTTTTAAGAACCCGGTATATATACATATATATGTATATATGTATATATATGGATATATATATATCCATACACACATACTGGGCATATCATGGGGGTGACTCAGTTGGATGTGCATCCCAATGTGGGTGATCTGAAACGACCCAGTGTTGGATCTTCCCAGCCTTGGTGTTGACCAACAAAACTAGCTAATAGTGACCGGTCTGTTGAAGCATATCCACTTGGCGTTCGAGTTTCGCCAGAGATAGATCAAAATCGACCCCAAATAAGACGTATGGCAGTACAATTGACCAGTCCATTTGTGACCACCAGTCCATTTGACCCAGACTCATACCTTTATCTTCCCACCTTTTGGTTTGATCCAGATTCTCGTTGCTCAAACTCGGTTGAAACCCTCACCATGGCAGGGCAATACCAAGTTCTTCACCTGGCTGACCGATGCCGAAGCTGAAGCCAAAAAGGCCAGATTCAACTGGGGCGAAAAAAAATGGCCGAAAGAACATGAGACATGAGGATTTTTTTGGATGATTTAAGCATCTATGGGCACTTGACTAATAACACTCCCAAAAAATATGGGGCAAGCTATTTGAAGAGTCAGACAAATGGTAGGCTTGAAGAAGAATACATGAATACCATGAACACTTTGCGTACAACGATCACATATGGGGATCATGGCTTTTTGTAGTCCCTCCACCAAGCGTTCCAGCGAGCTACTGGAAAGGTGGGGTTTTGGATTCCCTGCTGATTGGGATCAGCAACAAGATATGGGTCCCATTTTCTGCAACAAACATGGCTGGTTTTGGTGGATGTCACTCATATTTGACCAACTGGGGGATTTTTTGACCAACTGGATGTATCCATCAGTTGAGGATTATTCACCAACTGAATCTATCCCTAAAAGTGAGTGAAGTTGGCCCATTTCATCACAGCCAAACGTGTGGGTTTCGGGACGAAATGACAGGGCCGCTTACATTCCTATAAATTGGAGGCCTCCTAGAACCAAAGAGGGTAAATATTGGTAAATCTAAGTCACATGATCTAGATCATTCATTACTAACATGTTCTATCATTCATGTTTACCTTCATTAAATGATGCGAAGTTTACCCAACCATTTTTTTCCCTGAAATCATTGGTGGAAAGGTGAAGTTGAAGGTGCAGGGATCGCATGCACGGGAGCCCAAGTGCCGCTTTTGGCACTGACATCAATTTTCACCGCTTTTGCTGACATGGAACGAACTTTGAGTCAACCATGTTTGTGAAACAATATTCACCGAAATATGTTGGTGAATTTATAGAAAACATTTGTATTTGTTGGTGAATTTGTACATTCACTGAATACGATGGGATATATGATATATGTGGATACAATCAACATTCGATGGTACAATGGGATAGAATTGGGAATGGGATAGAATGGGATGGGTCACAAGCTGTTATACCATATTTTGAGTGGATGAACACACGTACATCCCAAGTATTGGTATGAACAGAAGGGGTACAGGGTTTTAGCCCATGGACCCATGCCCAGATGATGTTTCGTCTGGTAAATGGGCTGATTTTGAGGTTTGGGAACTAGTCCAATTTGCACCGAAATGGTTGAAATGCCATAGATCTATGATCTCCCCAAATGGGCAGGTGAACAAACCAAGACTTTTCAGGCGTTTCCTTTTTAAGGATGTGAAGGGCTGGGGTACAGGGTTTTGAGAGACAAGACAAGCACATAAAATGAGATCAGTATTTGATGAGACAGGTATGTAGGTTTGCCATGGTTTGCCTGAAAATGGGGTACCACTAAACCCCCTGGTTTCACAGTTTAACTTGCCATTTTTGAGTACCATTTTCAGGCACACCCTATGCCAATTGATATCCCATTACATATCCATATCGCTTCTGGATGTCAGCACAGCATTTTCCTTGAGTTTTGGCCCCCTGAGTGGTCGCTGTGAGCGGACAGGTATTTAAATGTGGTCAATATATGTCAATATATAGAGAAACATATACATAACACATATACATATATACACATACATCAGTACTTATTGTAGAGCTTCGCACACCGGCGATGCCATAAGGATAAGGGCTATGTTGTTAGCGTTAATCATGTTGTGCTCTGCGCGCTGGCGGTATTCTTTACATTGCGCAGCTTGTATAGTGCTTGAAAAGCATCAAATAGATTGTGTTTACGTGATCATATATATATATAAATGTAACTGTAAATGTGCAAATGTATATATGTTATATGTATATATGTATTTACATGTGCATATGTCTTTTGACATTAATGTATTTACATGTGCATATGTTTTTATTATTATTATTATTATTTTATTTTTATATTTATGTAAATGCATATGTATATGTATATATGTACATATGTACATATGTACATATAATGTATATATGTATATGTGTGTGTACATATGCATGTGACATATGCATGCATATACATAAAAACACGCAAAGAAACACCGTTGACGTGTGTATATCAGTGTGTATATATCTACATGTCTATTTGCAATTTCCCATACATAGATACAGTCTCCACATAGATATTCCCCCTTCCACTCGTCCATACCGAGATTTCCACCTTGGTCCGTGCGCCCATCGGCTTGGACGAGGAGGCGGTGATTTTTTTTTTGGGTCGTTTTTTTTTTGGGGAAATCCCTGTGATGTCATCGGAATTCATGGGATTTTATTTTTGTGTGGTTAATGTGTATATATATATATATGTATATAACCATACTATATAGAAATATATACATAATATGGTAAACCTATATCTGTCATATGGGATTATCAACAGATTGTAACCAACGATATCAACAGATTTTGGAAACAAGGAATATCTTATGGGATACAGTGGATGCACAGATACATACATATTTATACATGTATATAGGGCAGAGGCTGGGGGTTCCCCGGAAGGCAATTGAAGTTCATTGTGGTCCAGTTTGAAACATATCATTTTTCACAGTGTTTTACAGTGTTTTGTGTTCTTCCTATAACGTGAGAATATCAGGAATTAGTTCAACATGCGGACAACATATCCGGGATATGTTGTCCGCGGTTTCAAAGTTTTTTTTTTTCAAGTTCATCAACTTGTATCATTTTTGCTTTTCCCATAGGAATTGTGTGTTTTTTGGAATTTCAGGTTTCTTTTGATAGACATAAACATGTCATAGTCCACCAGAGAACCATGGGCGAAATGCACATGTTTTTTTTTCTCTTCACATCCACAAAGCCATTTTGAAAGCATTCCTAGGTGCACAAGCCCCGTGCAACATCTTCAACGTAACAACATCTTCAAGTTAACATTACCTTGAACGTAACAACATCTTCAACGTAACAACATCTTCTGATGACGCAATGCAATGAACAATAGCATCCCCCCAACCCCCACCCCGCATCTGTATGCAACACCGATCTTCAACGTAACAACATTTTCTGATGACAAAATGCAATGAACGTTAACATCCCCCCACCCCCCATCTGTATGCAACACCGATCTTCAACGTAACAACATCTTCTGATGACGCAATGCAATGAACGTTAACATCCCCCCCACCCCCACCCATTTGTATGCAAGAACGACAAAATATGCATATATATATATATATATACAGGAGAAAGACTGAAGGTTCCTACGCCTTCCGGGGAACCCCCAGCCTCTCCCCTCTATATAAATATGTATATATATATACACATGTAATATATATATATATATATACACATGTAATATATATATATGCACATTGGGTTGTCAGATTGCCATTTTAATGGGAAAATGCTGATCAAAGATATTTTTTTTTGGTACCGAAAATTAAGACACACCCACAGAATCAATAGACAATAGATAAAATATTAAAGAGGATAATAGTAGATAACACGGGTCGTAGATAATACTCTCTATAGTTCTAGAATTGATAGACAAAATAATACCTATAGATAAACTGTGAATAATGATAGTCAAAATTAGAATAAATGGGCGGACAAATTACTACTACAACAACCTGGATATTTCACCTTGAAAGCTGGGCCGGGTGATGTTTGGGCCCTCCACCAGTAGAAATAGACATGTTTATGAGTCACAGGAAACATGTACCCTAAAGGAACATCACGAATCATTGATATACATATCACCAGGCAGCAGTTCTCTGCAACAAAGGGGATCACTCTTGATGCATCTAATGCCCTGGAAGTGAGAGTAAATCACGAACGAATTGAGAGAGACCTTTGAAACTGCCTTTTTTAGGTGAATGCATCAAAATCCTACAGTATACCTCAGTTGGTTCCATAGTTCCATAGATATGGTACTCGGAAGGTGCCATCTCTCCACGTTCTTTTCAGGCGCTCAAAGAATACCTGGTCTCCCACTCGTGGGGGCCCTCTGAAACAAAGCTGGGCTGGTGGAAAGATGACTCCAGCCTCATGACGTCAGGGAGGAATTTCGGGTGTCAATTTGGGACATACCCGAGGGATCCCGAGGGCATTTGAGGCTAGGCTTGCATCGCCAAGGATTGACGTCAAAAAGTTTGGTCAGGATGGCACCAAGTGGGCTGCCTCAGCTTGGTTGCTTGGGTGAACCTAGAGGGGTCCCCAATAGAAAACCGAATCTAGACTAGTTTGATGGTGGTTTACTTGTCATCTTTGGGACTGCAGTTACAGTATGTTACATTCAGCATAGGTGTGCGTGCCATGGCCGGAGCTTTGGAATGGGGTGCAGGGGGATGGGGAATCTTGTACGTCACCCAAAAGGGGTATTCTTACGGGGGGTTAGTAAAAAAGAGACGTCTATGAGTCGGATTTCTGGACCAAATCTTCAGAAGTTGATCTTTTTTGGGCATTAGACCACTCAATCTGCCAGATTAAGTGGTTCCATCACCAAAATTTTGTGGTTCCACCATCACGCATACCTATGACTTCAAGTACCAGGAGCTTGATCAAGCATGCAACAAGTGGGTTGGCGCACGATTATTAAAGGCCTTGTGAAAGGGTTCCAACAAGCTATGAGAGGCTTTTCAAACACTGCCCTTGTTGCTTCTGCCCTGAGGTTTTATTGTCCTGAGTCCCGACTTTTCATCACATCTCCATATTTGCAGGTCAAACAGGGGCCATGTGTTGGTTTATTATCAAGTACCCAAGTACCCCGGCCAAAAGATGTGACACGCGGCACGAGGTCTTTGAAAGAATTTTCTTCCGAGCTCATCAAGGGTGAAACGCGACTGTTGCAGGTCATTCCGGGCCCTGGCATCGGTTGGTCCAGATTTTTGGGGCTGAAAACGGGGGGGGGGTAGATAAGTTTAGGGCCATTATATAAACTATAAACATATGGAAAAGGAGGCTGTAAGGCACGGGATGGAATGGGCTACCCTATTTTTAGACACACTCAGGAGTCAAGCCAGTGATGATCAGAATTCGTGGCAACAGATATCCTGTATCCATTTTTTATATTCATCTATGTATGACAACTTTTCTGGGTAGTTTTTCCTCTCTTGCTGGTCGGCCCTCAAATTTGTTTCCAAATCCCAATTCCTGCGAGTTACCCTCTGGTAATTGAACAGCTTGCTAAGGAACATCCACATTTTCAATAGGCAAATCATCTATACATGGGCCATCTATAGCATAGCTATGTTAAATTACCAGAGGGTAGATCCATGATCTTTTCAATCTGAGATTTCACCACTGCTTTCACGGTGATAATTGGGAGATTGGGGTTTTCAACAATTTGAAGTGTTAACTGGTGATGTAATGGGCATCGTTTGGTCAACGGATGGAGGATCACACCATAGTGACGACTATTCAGTGAATTGGTGAATTGGACCCACAAAAAGGGATATGTTTAGTGGGGTTCACAATGGGTACCCTCTGGTAAACTAACATAACTATGGAAAATCACCATTTTTAATGGGAAAATCCACTATAAATGGTCATTTTCAATAGCTATGTTAAATTATCAGAGGGTATATTTCGTGGGGATTTTTGTTGCAATTTTGATGCTAAACTCATGGATTTTTGGGTACCCAATTATTGGACACCACGGTGTGTCACTAGTTGGTGAAACTCCCATGATTTGTTGAAGTGTGATTCGAGTCCCACATATAAAAAAATCCCAATTTGGAGACACCCTCCGGTAATCAAATGTGGCAATGGAAAGTTGCTGATTTATAGATACATGATTTTCTTTGGGGATTTTCCATTGCTTACTTACCTTTGATGACCGGAGGGGTATATCATACGGGTTTGACCAAAAATGAGCCGTGGATTTTGCCTATCATTTGGCGCCAGGTGTCCAGTGGAGAGATCTTAGTGATCACGGAGGCGTGTTGGAGACATCTAGGATCCACCATTTGTAGATAATTATCCGACAGAAATCATGGGCTTTCCACAAGTCAACAAAAACATGGAGCATATTAGCCAGAAAATCCAGAAAGGAGTTACCAGAAAGGAGTAGAGATCTAGTCAAGCCTCAAAACATGTCAGTTGATTAACGGACAAGAAGTGGACATGTAGAGTAGTCCATCCTGAGCAACATGTTAATATACAAAGCAACAAAAAGTGTAGACATACTCAGTCCTCAACAGAATGGAGATTTAAACAACAAGAAATGGAGGTTGGACCCCATGATATTGACCAACGAAAAAGGGACTCGGATTGGACACCAACAGGGATGCTAGAAACTACGAGGATATCAAAAAACATGAAGATTGAAGCAGGATGACTTGGTTTTGATATGATTTGACCAACAAACATCGAGATTCCAATGGGCCAAATGGGGATATTTTGCTCAACAGTGGAGATGCACGGGCCCGTGGCACAAACTGGAATGAATTTGGCACCACGGAGATTTTGCACGCCAAACGAGTGAAAGGATGACTACTTTTTTTCCGCAGGAAGGGATGACTACTTCATAGATACCCTCTGGTAATGACTAACATAGCTATTGAAAATGACCATTTATAGTGGATTTACCCATTGAAAATGGTGATTTTCCATAGTTATGTTAGTTTAACAGAGGGTACATATATAGATATGCATGGATATTCACCAAGATATGGACATGCCTCCAGAATTTCTTGTCCCACCTGGGGATATTCCCAATTGTTGGGTGATGTTTACATTACCTGGATCAATGCTTGGCGATTGTCCATTTTTTTGGTGGACACACTTCCCGTCATCTGGTAAAATAGGTCCACCACGCGTCTGAATTTTCGAAGACATGAGAATCAATGGGAATATCATGCACAATTCATGGATATATTGCCATGGTATTATGGATATATATATATACCCCATTGATATCATGGATATATACCCCCTGGTTTCATTCCACATTGTTCAACTTGCCATGGGGCCAACATTCCACCGGCCGAGGTGGTGATGTTAATTTTGCACAATCCGGAGAGCAAGGAGACCCTAGTGCAAACTGCCCAGGCTTCGGGGTGCAACCTACAGGTTGGTGGCGTACCGGACACCCCAAACGCTGCTGGGAGATTTCATGGGTAAACGAGCCTGCAGTTAACAACATCTATTCACTTCCTGACCATGAACCACTGGAATTTCTTGGGACATATTCGGAATCATCCTGGTTACTAAGCCATTCACTGCTTGATCAAACATGTACAGTATATTATAGCATATGTATGTATATATGTATATTCATCTGTGATGATATGTTCACCATTATTACTAGTATTATCCAGTATCATACACATATTGTCAGTCCAATAGATTTGGTAGTATTTCAAAACATAGATTGCTAATACTGTATTTTCTGGTATATAGTCATTCGCATATCACTCATATTAATATATATATACACATCAGTACATCATTGTCATATCATGTACACAGTAATGGCACTGACAATACCAGAAATATGAGTTCGTGTATGACACACACACACATGTTCGTGCATATATATATATACATATCCCCATACATATACACATACTACATATACATATCCCCATACATATACACATACTATATATACATGCATATATATATATATACATAATACATATGTACATATGTATATACATACATACACATTATATATATATACATACACATACATATACACAATATATATATATATATATACACAAAACAGGCCCTGCCGATAGACTGTTGGAAGATTCGTTCCCACAAAATATGTGTCAAGGGTCTATGTTAATTTTTGGGATGGCATCTATAGAATCTATAGTCAAGAAGTACTCAAACTAGTTTAGAAGTATTGAAAAGTATCTATATCCAAACAGATACTGTACATATTTACCATGTATCAACAATACCCTAGGGTAGACTATCATAGATGTGCAACGCTTGTGCTCTCCCGTTCGGAAAATGCTCTATACATGGTGGGTTTTTCACATGTATATATGTATATATCTACATCTTATATATCTACAATTATATATTGTACTTATTCACCATGTATCACAGTAAATATCATTAATAGTAAATATTAATGATTAGTAATTATCAAGAGTAACTATCAACTATCAATAGGAATACATCATCAGTAACTATCAAGTATCAATAGAAACTATAGAAATCTCAATAGTAGAAAATTTCAAATGGTACATCTATAGTCTCTAATATCGCATATCTAATATCTATATCTGTCAATAGAAATTAGATATGGTACATCTATCAATATTGTGGGTTATATAACTATGTACCATAACATCTATAGTTAAATCTATATCTATCAATAGTAACTATCACCCAGCAACGTCTTCGCTCCAGATGTGGCCCGATGGCAAGACGAGCCACCAGGCCCGCATCCCAGGTGCGAAGCGCCGTGCCGCGGCGAAGCAGTTCAAGGGAACGCGGGTTGGACGGTGGTCAACGGAGCCCATGAAAAAACCATCAAAAAGCATAGAAATGTAGTGTACATATATATATATATATTTGTATACACATAATATATGATAATTGTTTAGATAGATTAGATTAGATTAGATTAGATTAGATAGATAGAGATGTAGAGAGATGGAAATAGAGAGATAGATACTGAATACCTTTTCATACTTCTTAGCTTGTTTGAATATAGTTTGAACCCTCCCCAGAATGAACAGTTCGACCCTGACAACAAGCTAATTTTAGTGGAAACGAACCCTCGACTCATGGCCGGGTCTATGATAATTGCATAATTGGGGGGATGGGATCTTTCCCAGAATTGGTGCAAGGGAGAATCTACAGGAAAACCCAATATTTTGGAGGTCAAAACCATGCTTTTCTGTAGAGTTTGGCAGGGATTTGACCATGATTTATAAAGGGTTGACCCAGTTGAAATATTGGGATGTAGTTGATATATGATGGCTGATGGTTGTGTTTTGGGGGTGATAGTACCTGGTTTATTGTTTTTTTTTTTTCGAAAACCACTAAGAGAAATAGCCATTAATCAATCCGCATTTCGGGAGAACCATGTTTTTTGTTGGGACTATCAGAGCAATTTCCTGGAAAAACAATGTTTCTGTTTGTTTTTCCCGTGGGTTTGTGGAGGCATATCAATTTACGAATGAAGAACAACTATATATTGTATATTTCTATGAATGGGATTGAATCGAGATATTTTCAGTGCGGAATGTGATAGATTCATATAGATTCTAAAAAAAGTACATAATTTGAAATTGATATGGAACACCGACCATTTACAGATCATTTTTCCTAGGTCTCCTCGTTGTTTCCCATTAGAACAATGCTAATTTACCGCAACTGCTGGACGACGCCTACGTTTTCTAAGGACCTGATGAAAATCAGTTCCTTTGCGCTCGACGTATCTTGAAGAGGCGGGGGTTTCGCGAGAGTTCGGAATGGGATATCATGAAGTGGTTATGGATTATCTATTATGGATATTATTATGGATCACTATGGGTCATTAAGATTAATCTATCATGGTATCCCATTTTCTTATGGATATTGTTGTGGATTAATCCCTTCCGAATATTCAACACCCCCTAAAAACCATGGTTTAGTAGGTAATTTCCACATCATTGGGACCATAGGATGGGGGCCTTTAATATTAGCGAGATTGGATTGTTGATTATCATGGAATGGGATATCATTGATATCATGCATAGTATGGGAACGTTACCTATTTTGAATCTGGTTTGGATGCCGGCAATGTGTGGCCATTTAGTAGGGAACTTCATCTGTAAATGGGGATATAATGGGATAGCCAACACAATTGATTTGGTTCATTGGTTCTGTTTGAAAATGAACGTATACCCGCCAATCTGTTTGGGCATTTGCAATAGGATCAACCATCAAGTTTTGGGGTCACACTACACTATCAGTCAAACTCAGATGGGGCACGGAAAAGCCAGACTTCTTTCAAAGATATGCATGAGGATGGGTGGGTTCAATGGGTCTGGCGGTCACATCAGGGGCTTCACGTACCTTGTTTTGGTGGATGCCCGACATGTTCAGTGACAGATTATATACCTTCTGGATCCTTCGGGCAAGCTGATTTGGAGTGGAAATCCTCCACTCATATTCTGGAAACACTCCAATCATATTGGCATTCCATTGCCTTATTTGATTACCGTCCCGGGTGCCCTCAAGTTCCGAGCTTTTTTAGGCAGCTGGAAATTGATGAGAACGCGGTAGGGGTTCCAAGGGCCAGGCTTGGGACATGCTCGCGAACAGCATATGGTTCTCAGGTTCCACATGCCCTTTTTATGGCCTGGAATCACTGGCCGTGCCTCGCCAAGGCATGAAAAAGTCTCTTTTTTAAGCCGTGAGCGTTTGCTTTTTGGTTGATATGCTGGGAGATTCCTCGAAATTTCATCAAGGAGCCTGGAAGCCTCCGGGAACAACGACCCAGCTGAGGTGAGAATCTCTCAAGATGTTGGCTACATCGAAGAAGATCGTAGCTCCAAGGGTTGCTTGGCGCGCCAAAGAGTTGACAACGAGTGATCCGACCGCTGGGCATATGCTGCATGGCTTTTGTGATGATGGTTTTAACGTTTTAACTTGTTTTGATTTGAATCATTGCTGGTATCTCCTTGGTAAACTAACATAACTGTGGACAATCACCATTTTTAATGGGTAAATCAACTATTTCGACTGGGCCATTTTTAATAGCAAACTGTTAGTCATTACCAGAGGGTATCTCCTTGGTACATCAAAACTTAATGATACCGGCAATGGAACGAAACAACCCACCATTTCAGTGGTCCCCGGCCTACTTGGCCGATCTGCCCGATCGCTCAGGTTATCCAGGCTTGAAGACCGTTGGGGCCCTTGACCCATACTTTTGAGGGTCAGATCAGCTTGTTGGTTTCCTCTCTCAGCACTCTTTGTATATTTTTTTTCGTCCAAAATCTCAATTCCCTCCAGATGATTCAACTGCAAAAACTGATAAACTCAATTTCACCCTCAGGAAACGATCGAAAACAATCTTCAACCTCTGCTTCCTGATTTTCCCCATTTTGTTGATCACACCTCCCTTTTTCGGGGGTTGAACAAAAACACCTAGCCCTAGGTGTACCGAAAACGCGTCATCAAGGGAGAGGTGATCCCGAGTGCCATGGCATCACTAATGTCAGGGTTGTTGGGTTTTCTGGCTGAACCGTAAGTTATTTGACAAAAACACGTTTTTCTTCTTGGATTTTGGATGGATTTTTGTGGAGGTAAGATGATGTAAATGGGATGTGAGGCACTTTAAAGGCAGGCAAACCCATGAATATTCAATTCAAGCAACAACGTGGAGGATAGTCGCCAGGCATTGCCAATCAACATCCTGTTCTAAAATTCTTATCGACAAATGAACCATCAAAAAATCAAATAATCACCAACAAGACTTGTCTTGATTCCCTGGGAACACTGCTGGGTGAAGTTTTGTTTTTTAAGGAGATCATTGCTGTTTTGATCCAGCTGAAACTTAGGTGAGTTTTGCAGCTTGCAGGGTAGCTAGTTACCACTTATAGCTTGGGTCTGGTTCTGATCCACGAGGCAAAACTGGTCCAGAGAACTTGAAACCTCGAAGCTTTTTGGTATGTTGGGGTTTAAGAACCTCACTCAATGGTAGCAATTTCTTGAAGAAAATATGTTAAGATGAGTGGTGGATTGAAGAAATGAGCGGCTCGGAAGGAAAAGCGACCTTTTTTTGAAGGGAAGAAAGACACAGGATGATCATCGCAGTTTTCAAGTGGGCAACCATGTCTAGTACCCGGAAAAGAGTTTGATCATGGTACCATTTTGAGTGAAACTATTGATTTGCTGGCAAGACTTGCGTCTGGATAAACAGTGCGGATAGGCCAGGCCCCAAGCGATTGAGGGGATTGTCTACAAATAGGGTACCCCAAAATCCGTTTATCATAAATTTTTCCCCATGACATTTGCCACTTTGGGGTTAAATCTCCATTGAAAAAGACAAAACCAAAGCCACATATCATATACATATGTATCCCATTATATCGCATTGCATTCCGATGAGGCTATCCAGTGTAGGAGGGAGCTAGGCTAAGGAGCGGATATCCATGTTCCCTACTAAACGGTGAGCCCATGAGCTACTAATAGTTTCCGAACCACATGGTAGAAATCCCTATTTGTATGATATCATATTCTCCCCATCATTATATCGCACTACCTTCCCATAGCATCCCCATTTACCATCTGGTAATCAAACATGGTAATTGGAAATCTCTTATCAGAGGAAGTTTAGGGGGAGAAACTTCCGTGTTACGGACTTTTAGAATGTCAGGGAAAGAGTTAGTCAAAGAAAGAGTTAGTGAGGGAAAGAGTTAGTCACAGAAAGAGTTAGCAAAGAAAGAGTTCGTCAGGGAAAGAGTTAGTCAAAGAAAGAGTTAGTCAAAGAAACAAGTCAGGGAAAGAGTTAGTCAAAGAAAGAGTTAGTGAGGGAAAGAGTTAGTCAAAGAAAGAGTTAGCAAAGAAACAGTTAGTCAGGGAAAGAGTTAGTCAAAGAAAGAGTTAGTGAGGGAAAGAGTTAGTCAAAGAAATAGTTAGTGAGGGAAAGAGTTAGTCAGTCAAGAAAGAGTTAGTGAGGGAAAGAGTTAGTCAAAGAAAGTTAGCAAAGAAACAGTTAGTCAGGGAAAGAGTTGGTCAAAGAAAGAGTTAGTGAGGGAAAGAGTAGTCAAAGAAAGAGTTAGTGAGGGAAAGAGTTAGTCAAAGAAAGAGTTAGTCAGGATATATGAGGTAGTCAAAGAAAGAGTTAGTCAAAGAAAGAGCAAAGAAAGAGTTAGCAAAGAAAGAGTTCGTTAGGGAACGAGTTAGTCAAAGAAATTGTTCCCGCAATGTAAATGGGATTGCAAGTGGTGCTGGTGGAGGAGTTGCCGATGGAGTTTTGAAGGAAGTCTCGCACGAAATGCGTTTTTGAGAGATAGCAGATGCACGAAAGCCTATGTTTTTCCATACAAAATCCGTCCCCGAACCTCGATGATCTACCTCTGCGGTGCGACGGTTGCGAGACGGTCTCGTGTGTGGTCGGATCATTCTCGGATCATGCTCGGATCATTCTCGGATCGTTTCCGCATTGTAAATGGGGTGTCACCTGTGTTTCGTGCATTTGTGGTCGACAGAATTCCATTGTGATTTGCAACTGTAGGATCGTTCCCGCATTGTAAATGGGGTTGCAAGTGGTGCTGGTGGATGAGTTGCTGATGGAAGTCCATTGTGATTTGCAACTCTAAGGATCGTTCCCTCACTGTAAATGGCATTGCAAGTGGTGCTGGTGGAGGAGTTGCCGATGGAGTTTTGGAGGAAGTCTCGCACGAAATGCGTTTTTGAGAGATAGCAGATGCACGAAACCCTATGTTTTTCCATACAAAGTCCGTCCCCGAACCTCGATGATCTACCTCTGCGGTGCGACGGCTGCGAGACGGTCTCACGTGTGTGGTCGGATCATTCTCGGATCATGCTCGGATCATTCTCGGATCGGTTCCGCATTGTAAATGGGGTGTCACCTGTGTTTCGTGCATTTGTGGTCGACAGAATTCCATTGTGATTTGCACCTCTAGGATCGTTCCCTCACTGTAAATGGGATTGCAAGTGGTGCTGGTGGAGGAGTTGCCGATGGAGTTTTGAAGGAAGTCTCGCACGAAATGCGTTTTTGAGAGATAGCAGATGCACGAAAGCCTATGTTTTTCCATACAAAGTCCGTCCCCGAACCTCGATGATATACCTCTGCGGTGCGACGGTTGCGAGACGGTCTCGTGTGTGGTCGGATCATTCTCTCGGATCATGCTCGGATCATTCTCGGATCGGTTCCGCATTGTAAATGGGGTGTCACCTGTGTTTCGTGCATTTGTGGTCGACAGAATTCCATTGTGATTTGCAACTGTAGGATCGTTCCCGCATTGTAAATGGGGTTGCAAGTGGTGCTGGTGGATGAGTTGCTGATGGAATTCCATTGTGATTTGCAACTCTAGGATCGTTCCCTCACTGTAAATGGGATTGCAAGTGGTGCTGGTGGATGAGTTGCCGATGGAATTCCATTGTGCTTTGCAACTGTAGGATCGTTCCCGCAGTGTAAATGGCTGCGTCAAGGTTGCTTCGTGCTGTGGCTGCACTAGTACTAGTATTGTCTTTTGCAGCTGGACTTCGTAAATCGTATTGGAGTGGCTGCATGAAGGCTGCGACAGTGATTTGTCAGCAGATTTTCTCCATTTTGGCGCTAGTGATTTTCCTTCTAAAAATCTTTTTAAAAAGTGCTTCAAAATCGTCTTTTTTTTCGCTCTGGCGTCGAGATCCGGTTTTGGAGCTACAATTTCCGACGCGGTTGCGCGTAGTTCTATTGTGTTTTGCAACTCAGTCTCTGCAGATCGCATTGTAATGGCTGCGTCAAGGTTGCTTCGTGCTGTGGCTGCATTGGTAATACTATTGTCTTTTGCAGCTGGACTTCGTAAATCGTATTGGAGTGGCTGCATGAAGGCTGCCACAATGATTTGTCAGCAGATTTTCTCCATTTTGGCGCTAGTGATTTTCTTTCTAAAAATCCGTTTAAAAATTGCTTCAAAATCCGGTTTTGGAGCTACAATTTCCGACGCCGTTGCGCGTAGTTCTATTGTGTTTTGCAACTCAGTCTCTGCAGATCGCATTGTAATGGCTGCGTCAAGGTTGCGTCGTACTGTGGCTGCATTTAAGTTTGGAGTGCGATGAGCGCAGTGTGAAGTGTGAAGTGTGAAGTGTGAGGTTTGGAGTGTGAAGGAAGCAGTGAGAAGTGAGAAGTGTGAAGTGTGAAGTGTGGAGTGTGAAGTGTGGAGTGTGAAGTGTGGAGTGTGAAGTTTCAGTTTGGAGTGCGAAGAGCGCAGTGTGAAGTGTGAAGTGTGAGGTTTGGAGTGTGAAGGAAGCAGTGAGAAGTGAGAAGTGTGAAGTGTGGAGTGTGAAGTGTGGAGTGTGAAGTTTCAGTTTGGAGTGCGAAGAGCGCAGTGTGAAGTGTGAAGTGTGAGGTTTGGAGTGTGAAGGAAGCAGTGAGAAGTGAAAAGTGAGAAGTGTGAAGTGTGAAGTGTGGAGTGTGAAGTTTGGAGTGCGACGAGTGCAGTGTGAAGTGTGGAGTGTGGAGTGTGAAGACTTTGCTTCGTCTCTCGCTGAAAAATCAAATGGTTGTCGAGGGAAGGACACGGTCGGGACAGGGTGTCTTTGAACTATAGGTCATTTATGTTTGGGAAACTTCCGCCGCCGGCTTGCCCGGGTCTATGTTAAATATCAATTTTAACGGGAAAATCATATAAATGTGGGGTTTCCATTGCCACGTTTGATTCCCGGAGGGTATAAATGATTTTCCATAATGTTGCGTGGTTCTCGCTTTACCCTCGGGGCCGAAGCATCTAAAAACTGCACGCATGCGCCCAGATGCTTGAGACTTCGGCCACTTCGGCAGGAATTCCACCAAGGGCAGCATGAAAATATGAGGAAAGTGGTGTTTGAATCCATTTCAATCATTGGAATTGGTAATTTTCCCCACCATTTTCAGACAAACCTAGTTTTTTCGTTTCAACAGAACTGGAGAACTTGGATTCTTGTTCACCTGTGAACCTCTTGGATTTTGAGTTGGGGAAAAGGATTTGATTTTCATCCCAAAATATGAGAATCGAGTCTGCCGCCGGGACTTTACCTGGAAACATTTGACTTCCGAACAGAATTTATTTGTAGCCATATGGGTATGTCTGAAGCTTGGGGTATACCGTTTACCCTTCATTTATGGCACTTTTACTAGGTGATTGACCAATAGACGAGGTTTTCTCCTCAAAACAATTGAGGGGTGCTCTGCGAGTCAAGTCTGGCAGGCGACCAAACGTGGACAGAAAACACAGGGGGATTGGGTCAAAACCCACGATCTTCCACATGGGGGGACCCAGGTCCTAAGGTCTTGATCATTGCCATGTTTGCTTGCCGCAGTGTATTGATCCATACTCATAATGTGGGCCATATCCAACGACTTATGGATTTGAGGATTACTTTGGACCATAGCCATAGTGCCATACCCTTTCTTGTGGTCTCTCATAGGGTTAAGGGCCTAGTTTTCATGCTTAAAGCTCTTGTTTGCTCCATGCGTTTGATGATCAGATTCCATTTTATGATGGTGACACTAATGGTTTATTTCTAGTTTTTGACGCTCAATTCCCTGTTCTTGATTATTGAAAACACATGTTTTGGTTATTTTGATGCTTAGATCTTGGTTCCTCCCGATTTTAATACATAGTTCCAATTCTCGATGCTCAACGAGCATTTTTTTTCAGTTTGCCACATTTTATTCCTTCGGTGGACCTAAGTTCATGATCCGCGCATGAGGTTGAGGCAAAGACCTCACATCGCAAACAGGTCATTCTGTGGCGCTGGGTGGTTCCAATTGTGGGGATGGAATAAGAACACAATGGCACGGTATAACCAACCTGGTTTGGGTTTGTTTGAAAATGGGGAATACTGGGACAACCTCAAAGTTGCAATTTTAATTTGTTGAAAACGAGGTTTTACAGCTTTAAACCATGAAACCATTTTCAGACAACAGACAACCGCACATTTGCCAATACATACCATTCCCCCCAACCAACATAGTGCCCGAGAATAGCCACTTTTAGAGGAACGTAGTCTTCCAAACCCCTTTTTGGGAGGCAAGGGCATGGGGATTCCAACCAGAAATGGTGGGGACCTCCGTAGGCTGAAAAACTGTTGCACTGGCTACTGAACAGTGGAGATGACATGGCCCAAAGCAATTTGGGAATTGGCCACAAAGCATGACAAACCCGTGGTACCCTCTGGTGAACTAACATAGCAATGGAAAATCACCATTTTTAATGGGAAAATCCACTATTAATGGCCATTTTCAATTGCTATGTTAGTTCACCAGAGGGTAATGGTTCATGATTTTTATAGGATCGATTTTGGGATCAATATCCACAACTATGCGTGCTGCTTTGGTGTGGAAAACCAGAAAATCAAAGGGCGAGCTCATAGCCCACCACGAATCACCGCGATGGCTAAAGAAGTGAGGTATCCAATGAAGCATGCCCCACCTTTTTTTTTAAAGAGAGCTACTCGTAGCTAAATTCATCCAGAAAATATTCAAGAACTATTTTTTTTCCGGCCTTGTCGCAAATGGAGAACCAGCTGGTGACTGAGTCGTGGCTTGAAATAGAACGAGCAATTTCTGGGTTAACAAAGTCAGGTCGTGAGCTCAAGAGAAGTGGCGAAGTGGCATCTTTGGGAGGTCTCCAAAGATAGGATTTCATCGGGAAAACATGACACAGATGACTGGACCCTGAAATATCATTCACCATAAATCCCATAAAATCATCATTGACTCCGATTAAACCATTCAATCCCATTGAAACACCATTCAATACCATTAAATCCCATTGAATCATCATTAAATCATCATTAAGTCCCATTAAATCACCATTAAGTCCCATTGAAGCATCATTATATAAATCATCATGAAATCCCATTAAATCATCATTGAATCCGATTAAATCACCATTAAATCGCATTGAATCACCATTAAATCATCATGAAATCATCATTTAATCCCATTAAATCATCATTAAACCCCATAAAATCACCATATCATTCCAGTACTACTGCTCTTTTTGGGTACATAAGTTGAGATGGCCATTTTAAACACAATTATGACCAGAACACTCGTATAGGGGATTTCTCAGGCGAGGGTGGGCGTGGCATGAGAAACTGAAATGGCAGATGATTCAATACTGAAATGTTTTTTTGCCAAAATTGGCTCGCCCATTCCAATGATTGATCATCATTTCCCTAACAACAGTCGCAATTTTTGGAGACATCCCGCAACAGCCTGTGGAGGCTGCGATGCCGCAACGCGCTTTCTTGAGCGCTTGTTCACGTTCACCCCCGGCCCAGTCGTCTCTTGAAAAGAGAGGATCAGGCAAAAAATGCCAAGGCGTTGGCGACCCAACAAAGTCAACAACGAGAGCTCGAAGTGATGAAACCATCCCAATAAGTCATGGAAGTTGTGATTTCGAAAAGATGCTTGGTAAACTCCAATTTGCAAACTCTTGGGACCATTTCAAATTTCAGGGTCACAAGGTTTCAAGGTTTCGTTTCAACGGCAAGTTTTGCTCCGGGGAGCCCCCCTTGCAGTTGGGTCCCAGGCTCATGCCACGCCCCTGCGGTGTGATTCAGTGCCCTATTTGTCCCTTGATCTCCACAAGCAGTGACCTTCAGGGAAGCAACCAGCAGTACCCATGGATACCGCCTGGATACCTATGGGGATGGATCAAAATTTCAGCCCTATGGGACCACAGATTATCAAAGGAAGTTTCATGGAGGAAACTCCGAGTTACGGATGGTTTTATTCTCACTAGCCCAGAGATCATTGTGTCCAGTGGGCACCAGCGTTAAGAGATCATGAAGTCGCATTCTCACTAGCCCAAAGATAAGAAGATGTGCAGAGAAATGAGAATCGTTGAAAAGAGAGGACGAGAGGTGAGAAGTCATTGGAAGAGTTGAGATGTGGTTTCACAATTTGCGACAAAAGGTCAGAAGTCCCGGAAAAGAGCATGGAAGTCTGCCGCGGCTCCTATAGGCAAACCTTGTTTTTGGATGCTATAGCGTTACACTTCTTAAACTTGGAAACTTCCGCCACCCGCCTTGCGCGGGTTCTACTTGTAGTATATGTTTAGTATTAACTATCCAATTATTGGGGTACCCAATTTTCACCTATAGCCCTATAAATACAAATTGCTAGGGGCTGGACATCCATAAATCCCAGCTATTTTGATATGAGCTGACCCATAGCATACCCATTCTGGTTGGTTCTGGCTCAAAAAGACTCTGCCAAATCATCTTGACGAGGGAACACCCTAAATCAACACCAGTCTGAACCACTGCTTGTTAGGTGTGTAGCTACCACGACCGCTTTGTGCTGCGCCCCGCCGTCGCCATCGCACATCTGACATGTAAAGGAGGTTTCCATGAAGAGTTACGTGGTAAAACCCAGTCACAAGCCACAATTAACCGATTTTACATTTGCAAAAACAAACCTGACCTGGAACTTGGTTTACAACTTTGCAATTTCAACACATGATCTTCCGCACACTGCCCTTGATGGAATCACAACTCCACATCTTGAGTAATATCTAGGCCTGGCCGGTAAGGCTTGGGGATGTGGGTGCTAGTTGGACGAATTCTTTGTTCACAGCCCCAAAGTTTGGCAATTTAATACGCACAGAGATAGCGACAAGACGACACCCTGCGCTCAATTCGCTCACGACTGCAATGAATGACTAGAAAGATAGGCTACGGGCCGGAAAAAAAAGGACCCACCACTGCTGATATTTCACTGCCACAGATGGGTCCCGTCCCTTTCTTCTTAAAAATGGTACCAGAAAAAAAAGATCATCTTTTCTCCATTTTGAAACATTTTGGGCTATATACTTCATTTTGAAGCAAAACCACGTACGTGGACGTCACTGGTGCCCAACGTGCCAGTGCTGCCTTTATTCTGAGTAACTGGTGAGTTGAAGAGGTGCTGTTGTTCTCTCGATATATTTGGGTGTACGGAAACCAACACACCTGGAATCCTCTCCTCAAAATGCCAGTGGACTCAGTGGACGTGGATTCCAACCGCCACGGTTCAGCAACACGTTTTTCATATCCTGTGCAGATGGCAAGAATCCAAGAAGTCAGAGCAACGAATGGCAACTGAACATGGGAAAAACACGGCACATACCTGGCACATACCCGGCTTGTCACTTCAAGGTTTTCTTCTTGGCCACATTTTTTGGCCGGTCTTGTTCCGAAAACGGTGCCATGGCTCCTCCCAATTCCCTGAGAGACTTGCTTCACCTGGTGCAACCGCCCTACCGGAAGAAGGAGCTTCGAGATGCCCGGTGGGAGAAGCTGGTGCAGCCACCTTTGTCCCCGATTCTTATCCCGATTCGTGGGATTCTGGTGTATAATTTATACATATTTATAATTTATACTTAGTATAAATGATATAAATGGATTCACTAGCCATCACCTATTCCAGGGCTTCTCTCTGGATTTTGAACTCAGCATGATCAGAAAATGATCAACCGGTCAGGATCCCCTATGTTTAACTCGTTCCCTAAGTTCCGAGATCCATTGCAGGTCAGCATCGTTCTTCTTAAAAGGCAAATTTATGAAGAAACTGGTGATTGCATGCTGCATGCCCATCTCCAATTCTTATTTGGTGTTTGTGGAAATTCAATCCCTCTTGGATGAATACAGTAAAACCACGAAGGAGACATCATGGGGCTAGGATTAACAAACTACTGCTTCATATTTGATCATTTGCCGCTTATTCTTGATGGTCGATATATGTCAATATACTCTCACTTTTCCCTGTGGGTTCTTTTCAATCTGAATTTTCAATGGTTGTTCTGGGTTCACGTTTCTAGAAATCCCATTATGTTAACGGTGACAAATCCAATTTTTGACCGCTGAAGCCGTTGCGATGTCTCGCAACTTGGATCATCCAACGTGATGCAACTGGTGATCCAATTTGACAAACCATCCCCACACCTGGTTTTTTATTACTAAAGTGACTAAAGCAATAAGTAAACCATCACCGTTTTTTTTTTTGGGGGGGTTGACTGTTGCTTTACCAACAATGCTATCGACCCATCTCCGGCGCAGGACTTGGAGGCCATTGAAGCGCGCCTTTGTAGAGTTGGCATCACCAGTGTAGCCGAACTGCAGGCGGTTTCGTTAGCCGTTGATGGGTCAAAGAAAATATTAGGTTGAGGGTCTACAGTGGCTGATTTTTGCCACCGTTTCATCTTTTTTTGTTGTTTTTGGGTGATTCACGATACGTTTTTGGGTGGTTTGCGTGTGACATTTGTCGCTGTGTGCGCTTTGGAGCTTGGTTGCTGGTGCGGCTGCAGGGTGCCGCTACACTGCTCATGATCTCCGCATATTTCCACCCTTGGTGAAGTGAACGAACGGATTTGATCCCAGATTCATCCCATTGCAGGTGGCGGTGCGTGGCAAGACTTTGGGAGAGAGCCTCGTTAAGAACTGATGGGTAAAATGGGAATATCATGGGGACGTAATGAGAATATTTCGTGGGATCATGGAATATGTATATTAGATAAATGATATGGATCGGTCTGTTTGAAAATGGGAAATACCTCAACATAACAATTTCAACGCGAAAATCCCAAGTTGTAAATCGAAAACGCGAGAGGTTTCTCATCGATGAATGGGTCACGTTCCATTGCCAGGTTACACCCTGGTAATCAAAGATGGCAAATGAACATCCCCTATAGATGGAGGGTTTATTGGGAAAATTATCTATAAATATGATGTTTTCCCAGCCAACCATGATGACCGGAGGGCATACAACATCATACAACCCGATTGGGGATGATCATGCTGCATGAAATGGAAATCGCATCCTCAACCAACCAATGGAACGGAATGAAGGATTTGAACACTGCGCAAAGGACTTTTCATTTCAGGTTGGTGAATTATGACAACAGTTCAGCCAGATTCATTCCGGGAATTATTGATATGGGAGTCATCGTTTTATCCCATATTTCAAGAACATATGTATATAACGTATATACAATATGTATACACAAGATGTATATACAATATGTATATACAATATATATATATAATATGTATGTAAATATGTATATGCATATACATAGACTACATACATATAGTACGTATACATATACATGTATATATAAATATGTATATACATGTACATGTACATATACAAATCTAATTACATAATTACATGTACATGTACATGTACATGTACACATACAATATATATATACACCAAATGGATATTGTTTCGAAATACATCTAATATATATATATATGTATATGTATATGTATATGTATATGTATATTTAATAATATACACTATATATATATATATGTATATACAAAAGAGATCGTGAACAATGTCATCGGATTTGCCTAATCATCTCATTCCTTTTTCTTGACCAAGAATCAACTTTCCATCAAAAGGAAATGACCTACTTGGTGCTGAAAACTTCAGTGGGTTATTTCACCCCAGTTATAGCTGGACATTGCCCCTACTTACGCTACCTATAAATGGGGTGAACTCTCCGACTTGATGCTTGTTCCATTCCAGCAGTTCAATCCCCGAGTTCAGAGATGATTTCCTCACTGATGTTGCTGACACAATCTCTCGGAATCTTCCTAGAACGGGGTGGTTGCAGCTATCCAGTGGCGTTTGCGGAAAATGCAAATTCTTTGGTGGTGAGCATCCGAAATCCAAGCCTTGGGGTTGCTTCAACAATCTTGACTCATTTTCTTACTTGTAAAGTCACCATTCTTTCTTGGCGAAGAACCCACATTTTCTTGCGGCAGTCCTTGGTCCGCCACATTACGCTTGTGAAAGCCACATATTTGATGCTGAAATCCCTGCGTATATTTCTTGGCGAATCCCCATGTATTTGATGTTGAACTAACAAAGAACGACTCTGATGAACTCCCCAAAGCAATCCACAGGATGTTGCAGCGCAGCGGCAAGCCGCTGCCCGCGCACACCTTGGACACCTTGGCCTCAGTGGTGGAGGGCGTAGCTGATGGCTCAGTAGGTGGGGCGACGTTTGGCTGTGGGGGGGATACCCCCATTGGCAATTTTGGGATTTTGGAAATAAGGATCAAAATTTGGGGTTTTGGGGCACCCGATTTTCAGACCCAAGGAGGAAAACAATGCAATTCCAACTGCAGATACCGAGATTTCAGTGATTTAAACAACACGACTTGGGAGGTAAGCAGCCGAAAAGAGGATTGAAGCAGCCAAAATGGGGATTGAACCTACAAAAAAATGGGAGGTGAGCGACACACACTCACACACAAAAAGAAGTTAAGAAGCGAACATGGGGGGGTTAAATCAGGAAACATGGGCATTTCAGGATGGGTATATGCAGAGTATAAAAAGCAAAACACAATAGATTTGGGATTCGACCCAGATTGCAGGTCCTCTCAACACATGGAAGATGTGTATAAAATTGTACACATTGTACACTTAGAAGCCAATTGATCCTCAGAAACAAGAGTTTTGACTCGTAAAATCAGGGCATACAACAGGTGTATATTGAACGGAGGGGTCAGTAACAGTATGATATATATATATATACATACACATGTAATATATATATATGTATATACACATGTAATATATACGTATATATACGTGTATATATATATATATGTATACACACACATGTACATTATGAAATGGTCGACACAGGTTTGTCTCAAAATCGGGTAACCAAAATCCACTACCTAAGGCATTTTTTCTTCAGATACACCCACATATCAGACATATCTGACAGATCATATGATGTTGCTTTGATTTTCCATCATACAGTACATCACTATATTTCCTTTTTCATTACTTGATTTACAGTAGCAAATACTGTTACTACTATCATTGTTTATAGTATCATCATCATTTCTATGATGATGACGATGATGATGATGATGACGATGATGACGACGACGATCATGATGACGACGATGATGACGACGACGACGACGATGATGATGATGATGATGTTTGAATGATCTGATGATCTGATGGTTTGATGACTTGATGATTCGATGAGGACGATGATGATGATGATGATGATGATGATGATGCTGATGATGATGGTTACGATGATGCTGAGGGTGACGAGGAGGATGATGACGATGAGACCGGCGACGACGACGACGACGACGACGACGACGATGATGATGATGATGATGATGACGATAATGATGATGACGATGATGACGACGATGATGATGATGATGACGATCATGACGATGACGACGACGACGGCGACGATGACGACGACGACGACGACGATGATGATGATGACAACGAGGATAATGATGATGACGACGACGATGACGATCATGACGATGATGACGGTGATGGCGATGATGACGACGATGATGATGACGATGAGGATGATGATGATGATGATGATGATGAGGGTGATGACGACGACGAGGAGGAGGATGATGAGGATGATTTGATGATTTGGTGATTTGATGATTTGATGATTTGATGATTTGATGGTTGGATGATTTGTTGATTTGTTGATGACGATGATGGTGGTTACAGTACTGTATTTTTATTATTGTTATTATTGTTACTATTATTATTACTACCGTAGATGGACAAATTATTCAAATCTTGATCATCCAATAACCCCCCGCACCCCCAATTTCAATGTTTTTTTTTGGTTTGGTTCGCTCTCGAATGGACGAAATAAATCAAACCCTAAGATCAGCAACGAAGATACGGAACCATAACGTTGAAATTTTGGGGGACAAGGGGTAGCCTACAACTCATGGATGTGGGGTTTGAATAATTTGTCCATCTACCGTATTAAAAATAACTACTATTACCCCACAGGCTCGTGAAATGATGATATTTTCCACACGACTTTTGCGAAAATGGTCCACCATCATCTCTGCATAGGCGCGCCCCCACGCGACCGAAGTAAGGAGGATGGCCTCGGGGCAAAATGGGGATTTGACGAACAAAACTAGAGATTGATGAAGCTCAAGTTGGGATTTGGCCAATGATATAAAGGATATTCACCAACAAAATATGAGGGTTTGGACGGTTTGGATGGACTTTTGGGGTGTTGCTGTAACTAGGCTATGAACTATGAAAAGCCTTACTGGGTGAACCTTATCCAAGGTTGGTTTGCTTGGCTTGATTTTAACCATTTTGATGGAACCAATCTCTGAATATCCCACCTGAAAACAAACATCACCCCCCGAAAATGGCCAGTTGCAACACGGGAAATCCTTTTTCGCTGCCCCAAACCACGGTTCCGTGGCATTGCAGAACTATCCATCTCGGCTAAGTGGGATGATCAGACTATGTCATCCACTTGCGACTTCACTTTGTCATGTGACCTCTGGCAAAATTTACCTATTGTACGTATACAGACAGACAGATAATAATAAGATAAAACAAAACACGGATAGATTTTGATTTAGTTTTGATTGAGAACCTAGATGAGATCCGATAGATAGTGAGGTGTTTACCATGGTAAACCCAATGCCAGAAAGCTGCGTCAAAAAAAGGATTTATGGAATCGGGTATACCCCCCCAACCTGCGGGAACCCCCAAAAGGTTGGTCATTTTTCGATGGTTTCTGGTGTCGTGGCACAGGAGTTCCCGCGGATGCATGGCCTCTCTCATATTCGAAGATCACCCAGGTGGTTTTTCGAGGGATCAGTGCATCCGTGGCGATGATATACCTGGGATGTTATGATGTTCCGCTGAAGATGGGATAGATATATGATAATATATGATATACATGCGATGATGATAAAATGATAGGGTTTTGATCCATCCCCGCGAAACCTCATGGCGAAAGAAGTGGGGATTCAAGCGTCTGAAAAAGGTTGAACGATGTTTGCATGACATTTACAAATGATTTCCTCAAAACTTCCGGGTTTCCAACTTTTCTATCTACATCTATCTACCTATTTTGATTTCGCTGTAATCGAGCCTGTCAATCCATTAAAGGATGATCCAGATTGGATCTGATTTTTGCTGGGAACATCGGAACATCAATGGGTGCAACGTTCCATTGCCACGTTTGATGAAACCAGAGGCTAAGTTTTTTTTTGCAACCCAGTTTCAGTGGGTGAAAACGGATTTTGATGCAAGTTTGGGCAGATCAGGTATCCTCAAAGACCTCCTGGCTGTTTGGCAGACACAATGTTGTTTATTCTTCTGATCTCCAGTCAATGTATGTCCAATTTACGAGCTATTGTAAATTGGAATACTGTATGTACATAATGCACATTAAATTCCCTAACTATCCCCGATATTTTATCCCCACTTAGCCAACAAACAATTAGTTCAAACAGAACCTTATATATATAATATTCCGAATTATAGTACTAAAATAGTCCAAATATTCCCATAACATTCATATCCCCATTCATATGAAGTCCAAATATTTCCATGTGATGGGACATTCATATCCCTATCATATCCCTATACACCAATATATTTTGCCCATTTAGTCCAATCCCCCTAGTACCAAACACCCCCAGAAACCATGGGACGAAAACCACTAATATTAGCAGCTTGATTTACCAATGATTTGCCCATGATTTTTAGAGCATATTTCCAATGATTTGGAAATCCATATCTTGAGGAAATATACCAATGATATTCCAATGATATGACATAATTGGAACTGACATAACTAATATTCATATTCGATATACCATTGGACATATGGGTTTGTCTGAAAATAGGGTATATTCCCAATGAAATAGCCATGTAAAACGGGATAATGATCAGCAAAACCATTGGGAAAATGGGGTACACAACATTTTCAGACACACCCATAAACCATGGAAAATCACCATTTATAGTGGTTAAATCACCATTTTCCTATGGTTTTATAGTAAAATCACCATAAAATCACCATAATTTTCCAATGACAAGTTGGAGTTTCCATATTTTTCATCCACTGCCAGGTGGAGCTTCAAGCAATCCAGCGACTTCGAGCGTCGCTTTCTTCCGCCTGGCCCCGGCACGTGCGCCGTCAACGCGTTGGACGCCGAACGGCCATTGGTTGGGCAAAAGATCGTCGAATTCTAAACGTCCATGCAATACCTATATTTGGCTCATATGTTTCGGTACATAGTCATGCACATCATGTGTATATCTACTGTATATATATATGTATATATATATATATATGTATATGTATATGTATATATATATATAAATATGTATGTATACATGTACATGTAGCACATAAACATGCAGACACACACAACACATCTGAATCTAATGTGATCAGCTGGGATTCACCCGCCCCAACGGCGCAGGTACCACCTGGACGACGGGAGCGAAGCGGTGAACGCCGTGTGACTCGGTGATAAAAACATGGCAATATGGGGATTTAAATACCATGGATAGATAAATCCCATAGATTTCTATGGATAAATATGATAATACCATGGCAATTAAATGATTGGTAATACCTATTGGCAATTATCCCAAAGATGGTGAAGAAGTGAAGAACACTGTCTCGTTTTTTTTTGCTTAAATCCCCAGATATTAAGCGATGATTGTTGGTAAAATTCCGGGTTTTTGTTCGTTACTCGTTTTTTCAGGCCTTTGCCTGGCTTGCATCTCTAAGGTCCAGATATCAGAAGGCGGGAGAGGGGCGCAGAGAGGGGCCGGATTTTGGCGGCTCCTGGTACTTTCTGATGGTTCTCAAGATGAGGCTCTCAACATTTCTTTGAGACGATTGCTCAGTTTTTTCTTCAATAGATTGCTCATATAGAGTATATATATAGAATATACAGATTATATATATATATACACATAGTTGGAATGACAATAGCGGATTCAGCTCGAAGGCTAGGAATGCCAAGCGCATAGAATGGGGTTACCTGTGCCCTGACCATTTTTGGGTTGGAGTACCCTTCCAGGTTTCTGTCCGAATTTCCAAGTTTCGGAGCGCAAAATTGCTGCGTTGCCGAACCGCTGAACATCTTTTTATGTTTGCTCAACATCCCAGCTTTTGTTTCAAGCTCTTTGTCCGGTGCTCGAATCCCTGAGTTTCAGTTCTTCATTTGTTGTTGTAGCTGCGAAACTGAATGGATTATAGGGATATACTGCCACACCCCTTAATTTTTAGTGGGGGTTCAGATGGATCTACCAGATAAGCCACTCTTTGAGTGATCAACAAACGACCAAGAAAATGGGCCTCGGCCTCCAGTTTTTCTTAAGTCTTAAGCCATGCCCAGGGGCCCATCTTCTCCTTCGGTTTGTCGGGTCGGGATCCCATCGGCAAACAGAAAATCCCTGGCCCGGGGGCGTATGAGTTGGCTCAGGCCCGCAGGGCTGGAAGTCCTGGGGATATACCGACCAGTATTCAAACATGGCGTGTCTGATTACCGGAAAGGATGATGTTGATGGTTCTTGGGTGCCCCAAATGTCGAAGTGTCACCATGACAATAGTTCAAGAACACAAACAGCCCTATGAATTCCCGTTTGTGCTATCCACTTGTTTTGGAGAACCCCCACAAGTTCCAAATTTGGGTGACCTCCCATTCATTTTGACAACAATCTTGGTCGCACCGACATCTCTGATCACTTGGGAATATCAAATCCACATTTTGGTTTAGTGACACATCCCAGTTATTCACAGACATTTGGGCAGTTCTTGTTTTGTGAAAGATTTCAATTGATCTCAAACAAGTAGAATCATAAACAGTTATAATATATAATGGTTATATAACTAATAGTACCAATAATACTAATAATAATTCATATAATGGTTATATTACTATGGTTGCTTCCCAAACGCGCAGGGGTGACCAATCTCAATTAAATCTCGCCTCAATCAGGTGATTTGGCAAAGATTCCCATCTCACAAAATAAAAACGGCTTTGTCTGAAAGAAAAACGGGAAACAACTCCAAATTTGACGGTTCATCATGTACTTGATCAGAAATCTTCCAATACTTCCAATACCTCTCCAAGACCGACTAGGCTCGGCTGCCAAATTGGCATTTTCCGGCGAAGCACATCCCATAGGTGTTCAATCAACTCTCCGAACTTTAACGCATCCAGTTTTTGACCCTGGGCAAACCGTGAGCCAGCAAGATTGCATGGTCATCTATCCCCATGATTGCTGGGCATTTACCAGTAATTGCATCCCCACTTAAATCATCGTTTAACATCACCATTTTTCCATGTGAATCCCCATCAAATATGATCCATTCATATCCCCAGATGGTTTACATTCTTCCCATTCAACTATTGCCCAAAAAATCCCAATTGCATCCCCAATGGTTTGTATAAAACACCCAAGAAGTCATCTCTGGACACGTGACAAGTTTTTTTTTATCTGAAGGATACTATGAATGAACTATTGATGCTGAATTTAAATAATGCTACACTATCCCACTTATTGATTGCCTCACTACTTCTCCATACTCATGGGTTTGCTACTCTGTATGATCAATGTCAATGACCAATATACTCTGTATGATCAATGTCAATGACCAATACATTGTACTACTGTTTTACATTATTATGTTTTTTTTAATCATTGTCAATATTCTCCATGCTTAAACTTCTGGTGAGTTTCCTTTTTTTTTGCGTATTGTTGATACTTGAAATCTGTACTTAGATGCTTAGATACCCTCAAATTGCTGCAGACATTGAGTTTATACCATTTCTTTCCCTGTTTTTTTTGGTATTTGTACATCCTAAAATTGGGCATAGCTGCAAAGATGATCATCTTCCCCCCAAGAAATGCCGAAAAAAGTACTCCGATGTTAATCCGAGGAATCGAACGTGGTCGTTTTACCCACTTGCAATGCCCGCATGCATCCCATTTTTAAGTACGAAATACATCTAGATACTACAAAGATATGATCAGTCAATTCCTATAAATATGATCACTTGCTATATATATATATATATACACACCTACATACATATATATATATACACATATTATACATATATATATATACACATATATATATATACCTATATATATATATACATATATATATATATATATGTACATATACGTGTATATATACCTAGTAGTATTCTATTCCTCCATTCTTGGCAATTCGAGAACTCCAGAACATTCCTTCAAACGAATCATACTGAACATATATCAAGTAATATTAGCATCAGTGTTTCCTAACTAGAATCTTGGAATGTTATGGAAGGTTATATGATGGTTTGATACTAGAATTTTGGAATGTTTGTGGAATGGCCAAGACCATGGCATTTCAATGTTATCTAAGTTTAGACACCAATCTTTTTTCATCCAAGATTTGAAAATCTATCGGTTTGGATATCAACTTCGCTACCTATGGGGCCCATGGGGCCCTTTTTTGGCTGTCTCAGGAGGCCGGTCTCTCAGCCTCGAAGTGGACCATGACGCCGCGCCGCGAGTGCCACGGCCGCGGCGCGGCCGGGGCTCTGGCAGCCGGCGCTGGAGAGCCAGGGCCCGGGAAGTACGACTTGGAGGTGCCGGAAGATCTGCCGAAAAGTGTTGGATCATAGAACTGGATGATGGGAAGATTTACAGGAAAGCCCTATATTTGATGGTAAAAACCATGGTTTCCTGTAGATTTTCCCTTAAACCAATCCATTGATTGGAGATTCTGTGGACATGTGAAAACATGAACATGTCATGGAAATATTGGTGATATTAGCCGGACACATTTTTGGACATCATATGTGCCACGCCATGGTCTCAACCCAACGGGGATTTACCTACTCTCAAAGAATGATTCCTACCAACTATATATCCAATTATGGGTCCTACCAATTATGGGATGACCATCGTCCCTGAGCTTGGACCATGGCACATATTGCTTGACCATCAAACAAGTGCGATTTCATGTGATTGAACCATCGAACAGGGGGAATTTGTCTTAAGAATTTGTAACAAGAACCATGAGGATTCAGGGTTGGGTGAAACCTATGAATTCCCCCACATATATATATACATATATATACATATATATATATATACATATATATATATACATATATATATATATACATATATATATATATACATATATATATATACACAACCTATATGTATATATTATACACAATATATATATATATTGTGTATAATATATACATATAGGTTGTGTATATATATATATATATATGTATGAATGTGGAATGGGAACATCCAGTACTACCTGATGAGTCTTGATTGAAATCTGAAAATGTTCGGGTGGGGTCTTGGAGATATCTGAAACTATCAGCAGTCTGTGTCACTGGCGTTTTAACTTCAGATGACGATGCTCATGCAGTGCATTCTGTTCAACTTGTAACTCACAACCCATTTGGATGTCCCTCAAACTTCGGTAGTGGACATTCACCATATTACCTGATCTCATGAAATAAAAAGACTTGACTTGTTGAAGTGGGGACCCTACGAGGTACTGTATCTCCTATCCCAAGAACAGATCGCAGGAAAAGGTACCCCTGCGATGGGGGGGAAGCTAGCAACAGCTATGCATCGCAATGCGCTGTGAAAATCCGCGAAATTTCACCGTTCTTTCCTGGGTTTCTGGGTTTCCTTTGGCGAGGAGACCTTTGGGAAGAGTGCCAAGTATACCGCTGGTCAGAAATTCGCGGGCAGCCCCGGTGGGGCCAAATCTTGGATCCCCCATAAACCCAACCGGAGCCAACTTGGTGGGGCACCGACTCAATGACCCTTAGGCCCTAGGCCTATGCAGAATGTGGGGTTCTTGTGGCCTTGCATTAGCGTGTGTGCTGTCAACAATAATTCCATGAAGAAACTGATATCATTAAAATTTACCTCTATGTATGAGACTTATTTGCATGAGACTTATCTCGATCCAATTTGTCCCTATCAAACCTATCTCCACCAAAGTTATACCCATCAAACTTTACTCTACCAAGCTTATCTCTGCCAGACACACTATACGTGGTTATCTTATCCTTCAATGCCATGGTCAAAACTTGGGTAGATTGCCATATTAAGAGATGGTCATCCATCTATTTACATAGGGATATATATATATAATTATATATATATATATATTGTGACTCATACATATATATATGCATATATATGTCTATACATATATACGTATATACATATATATATATATGTATATATGTATATGTATATATGTATATATGTATATATATGTATATATGTATATATGTATATATGTATATATATGTATATATATATATATATGTATATATATATGTATATATATATATGTATATATGTATATGTATATGTATTGGTCCCGGCCGGCGGCCGGCAACCCCCCCCAATGGTATCCCCACAGGGGGGGGGGGCGGGGAAGCAGAGGTACCTTGCATGATAGTTGGATTCCAGGGAGGTAGTACACCCAATCCTAGGAACCATCCCCATCGCGGGGGGTGAGGGGGGGGTTGCAGACCTGTACCATATATATATATACATGTAAATATGTATATATGTATATGTATATATATATATGTATATATGTATATATGTATATATGTATATATGTATATATGTATATATGTATATATGTATATATGTATATATGTATATATTTATATATATATATGTATATATGTATATATGTATATATGTATATATGTATATATGTATATATGTATATATGTATATATGTATTCATGTATATATGTGTATATGTATATATGTATATATGTGTATATGTATATATGTATATATGTATATATGTATTTATGTATATATGTATATATGTATATATGTATATATGTATATATGTATATATGTATATATGTATATATATGTTTAAATGTATATATGTCTGTATATATGTATATATGTATATATGTATATATGTATATGTATATATATATATGTATATATGTATATATGTATATATGTATATATGTATATATGTATATATGTATATATGTATATATGTATATATGTATACATATATATGTGTATGTATAATATATATATATATATATGTATTTATGTATTTATGTATTTGTGTATTTATGTATTTATGTATTTATGTATATGTATATACATAGACCTATCCTGCTATGGAATGACCATAATCCATTCATCGCATCCCCTAAGTTCCGCCCCAAGGACATGGGCAAGACTCGTGTCCTTCCTGGGCCTGGGGACTACTCCCAGGCTGATTTCTGGGACCCAAAAAATGGGCCTGGAAGAGGATTTTCCGATTACAAACATGGAAATTCCTAGGGTTCAGTGTCAGTTTTGCAACCACGCCAGATTTTGGGATTGAAACAACAGAACAATGAGGACGCCGGAAATGATGAACCAAATGCCGAGAACAGCCGATCACCAATCATCAACAGTGGGATATTCACCAGTGAAACTTTTCCCGGGGTAGCGAAGATAACCCCTGGAGCGTTGACCAAAAAAATGGAATCCCACGGAAAACCCTATGGATGATCATATGGATCCCATGGATTTTGACGGCACATATCATCCACGATATGTGGATCATTCTGGATCATTCTGGATCATTCTGGATCAATGTTTGGAGAAATCTGATATCTGGAGCGAGAATCATAGGAATACTGCGCAGCACATTTTGGCTTCAGTTCTGTGAGGACTCTGCACTTCTGCACTCTGGGAATCATGGCGGAGCACATGCAGCTTGCAACTGAAGAAGCCCAGGAGATGCTGTTGGAGGAAATTCCAGAAAGTCCCAGCACCAAACCAAGGCACTGGTACCTTGCTGGTGCCGGCCTTGCCCTGCTTGTGGTGCTTGGAGTGGCCGCCAAGGTTGTGTACCGCTCACCTGAGACCTTGCTGCAGTCCAAGAACTTCGACATCAACACTGTCCAGGAATGGGAGCAGATCCCTGGAATCGACCAGGTGGTGGAGCATGCCAAGACTTTGGAGTTGAAGCAGCCGTTGCGAAATCTTAACGACCTCTTCTACGAATCTCAACCGGAAGAGCTTCCTTGGATCCGCACCGAGTGTGTCATTGATGTGGTTCAGGGAGCTGCTTACTTGGGCCAGGCTGTGGTCTTCCTTTACAAGGCGATCAAATATGATGGAATTCGATGCCCAGACAATTCCCCGGCCGGTTGTGCTGCGAGTATTGCTGGGTTCAGTGGAACTCAAGGCGGGTGGCTTCCTTATTCATTTGTCTTGGGTGCCGGCTCATGGCCGCGTGGCTGCGGGATGGTCTCCCCCGGATGGTTTGCCTGAGGCCGTTGCAAGGGGTCTTAATCACATTGTTGACGTGGCGGCTAATAGGCGCATGACTCAGCGCCTCGCTGGGTCCGATCGTGCACAATGGTATCTTGCATTGGAGCAAGCTACCCAATGGGAGATGAGTGTGGTGCGGGCGGTCGCACTGTGTGTCGATCGCTACCGCACATGGCTTCAGTTGCCGTGAATTGGACTTGAGCTCGCAGGACACTAGCTTTGCTGGTGGTATCCCCGTTGCTCCCTAAACATTATGGTATTGCTGGGTTCATCACCTCAGTGACTTGGATTGCCTCCTACCTGTCCTTCGCAGCAAACGCATGCGGTGCAGCGGTGAACTCTGGTGCCCTTTGTGCTGGCGACTGGACTGCTTTGATGGCCAACTTCGGTGAAATGGCCACTGTAGGAGCGGCTGTGAAGGAGGACTGCGACTTCAACAAAGACTGGCTTGCTCTCCTCAAGATCACTGGCACTGATGATGCAGGACAGCTGGCGCTAGATGTGAGATGATGTGAGCATGTGTGAGTGTGGAAGCATTCTACATGAACGTAAGGAAATCAAAGTTGCACAGTTGCACCTCACGCATGGTAGTTCTCGGATGGTCCCGTTATGTCACTTTGTCTAATCTTGTGCCCTACTTGTAGCCTAGCTTGCCTCAGAAATGTTGTGTCAATGTATGGCAGATAGGAAGGCATGGGGGGCGACATTCTCTCTTGGATGAGGACCAGGATGGAAGACGTTCGTCCCGGCTGGTGCTTTGCCCACAGTTGAGACTGTCCAGAAGGTCGATGCCCTCCGAACTGTGCTGGGCTTAGCTTGCGGATCTTGAACGACTTTGTGACTTTGTGGGGGCTACCCAACCCACGTTGGACACAGCAATTTTCTAGGCGAAACCGAGCCAAAGATTCATCACGGTGACACGATCTGGCGACTGAGGCTGACCGAAACCGTGCCTTTGACCTCACCCAGTGCGTCGTCGCAGATGTGACCAACGCGGCAGCTTGGCTCGGTTGGCTGGCCCTTCTGTTTCAGTTGACCGGTGGATTAGAGTTGGCATGACTTGGATTGAATTCAATCCAGGGGTTTCATCACGACCGAGGGCTTTAGAGAGACAATATGCAGGTGAACCTCAATTTTTGAGGGTTTCTGCAAGTCGTTCAGTCTATGGGAAATGTAGATTTGAGCAACATTTTGGAATCATGAATGCTGCTCTACGTCATGGACGAGTCAAAGCATTTTCTTGTCTGAAAGACACTGCATGGAGTCTGGTTCTGGGCACAAAGGGTCGGGTTGAAGAGCTTCCTCCACAGAAGATCCTGGAAATTCAATGAATTTCAGGGGACGTTCAAAGCACGTCCTAAGGCCGCTTACATCGTGCGAGCCATTCTCCAGATCCGCTCGGCCGCATCGGCCTGCCCAGAGCCAAAGCCACTTGGCTCGGAGAGGCAGACATCCACGGATGCTGTGGCATGGCAACACAAAGCCGTCATGATCGTGAAGTCACGGCATGAAGTCACGGCATGAAGTCACGGCATGACATGGACACACACTGCAGGCTCCAGGCTTCAGGCACTTGCAACTTCCGAGTTCCTAAGAGTGACAGATGTGACAGATGTGACTTAGAGGGTGCGTTCCCCTCTTTAAATGGCTTTTCTGTGAAACCCATAGGAACTATATGTAAACCTTCTAGGAGCTACATATAAATTTGAAGGGCTAGCCCCCTCTATGGGCCAAGGATCAGTTGAGTTGATAGTTGGTTTGCATTCGGGTTGCTCCCATCAATACTTATCAGGCTTTCCATTTTTCATTGCAGGGCGCACGTCCCCAGTTACAATCGTAACTTGCTGCAGAAGCCCAGTTCCCAACAAGCTAATCACTAGTAGTGCAGCATTGCAACACGAGTCGTCCATCACTGCATTGCTCAGATGAAGCCCCCTGCGTGTCCCCAGCCAGAAGCATTCCTGCAGGGCCTCCTCTCACAATATAAAGAACATGCCAACCAAAAACCATACCCAAAACCCCACATGTTGGAAGAACTCTTATGACCGTTCCCTTAGACCATGTTGCAAGTCATGCACAGCGCCAGACCACAAGCCCCATGGAAAGACCTGCAGGATGATGTTGGGTCGCCCCATTCTGGCATGAAGCAAAGAGTAACGTACCACTAACCGCAAGAAAAAGGGTACCAAAAAGTTGAACCCAAGACTTTGGGTATTGTTGCTTTTCTTCCTTGGAAGAATGTAGGCTTTATGGCGGCGCAGGGTGCGCCCTACCCTATCCCAGTCTTAGGGAAACAGTCAAATGCAGAAACTGTTCAAAAGCGAATGTGGCTGTGGCATGCAAGCACTTGCTTTGATTTGTGCAATTTTTCCGCTGAGTCATAGCAGCCCCGTCATGCTCAAATCATATATACCGAGTCCCCCAAAGAGCGATCGCATTGCGCGGCTGAACGCGAGCCAAACATTGCCGTGTGAGATCATTTGCGTACTGATAGCGCTTTGGGTTTTGCGGAGGGCACTCAAGGGCACTTGCATGGGGGCATTCTATGCCACCATTTGATCTTCGGGGATTGTCGAAGGGTTTGAGCCCAGAATGCTCGAGGAATACGTTCCGATCAATGTCTTGGTTGATCGTGTAAGCATCTCCCAACGGTTTAGAGCATCGAGGTGCACACAGAAGGTGATTAACTTAGCCCAAGCTGGGTTGGACATGGTTGGGCCAGTGGATGGGCTTGTGATATCGCATTGTAAGATCAGAGGATTGTGGTGATCTATGAAGGATGCCGCCCCCAAGATTTTGCATTTTCCTTCAAGTTGTTGGGAGGCCAGGCGCTAAGAGCAGCACCCTTGAAAATCTCCAAAAAGGTGGCACGCAATAAGCATGTTTCTTTGTTTCTTTCATGGGAAAGACAGACCCTGCATTTTGCCTCTGGCGATGTCCCTATTTTTATGTAGTTCCGCCATATATATATATATATATGCATATAGTTCCCCCATGTTTATGCTCACGCCGCCGTTAGCGGCGCTGAGGAATTTACTACTTTTTAGCATATCAGAGGAGTTTACTACTTTTCAGCATATACGGCCAGGGGTGGGATGGGGGGTGGGGTGGGATGTTAACGTTCATTTGCACTTGCACATCACGTGGATGCTACGTTGCTGCTACGTGGGGCATGGGTTGGGGTGGGGTGGGATGTTAACGTTCATCTTGCACACCACGTGGATGCTACGTTGCTGCTACGTGGGGCATGGGTTGGGGTGGGGTGGGATGTTAACGTTCATTTGCACTTGCACACCACGTGGATGCTACGTTGCTGCTACGTGGGGCATGGGTTAGGGTGGGGTGTACTTACCAGGTGTCATGATTGTACTAACCCTTGGGCGCTGCCTTGCCCTATGCCAGTGTCAACATTCCCTTTTAGAATTTTGCCGTCAAGTACATGGTTTGAATCAAAAGCAGTGACCGCTGGCACTCAAACCTTGGACAGGGCATGGCAGGATTTGAAAAAGTATGTTCCATCCGAGATCACAGCAAAGGATGCAACCAGCAAAAAGGTGAATCCTGCGTTGTGGGATTGGATTTACAGCTGGATGTGGCGCCGCAACTGTAAAGGAGATGTGTGGGCAGCCATGCCAGCTCTGTTTCACTGAGACAGAGATTGCTTTGATGACGATGATGCACGCATGTAAAGAAATATCCAAAATCACCGCCTTTAAATATAGTCAGGATTCGCTCCTGACTATCTATGTGTGTGAGCCGCTAGGTAATATATACTTCAGAACCGTTCCTGACTAAATATGAGCAATCATTTTTATAGCCAGGAAACGCTCCGAACCCCTCCTGACTATATATAGGCCATGGTATGTATAGCTAGGAACCGCAATTATTCCCCAGATAGTCCCAAATAGTCCCAGGTATATATAGTCAGGATCCGCTCCTGACTATATAAAAAACTTATGTATATATATATAATGTCAGGAACCGTTCGGAACCGTTCGGAACCGTTCCTGACTATATAAAAGGTCGTTTTATGTTTAGTCAGGAAGCGTCCCGAACTGTTCCTGACTATGTTTAAACTGCCTTATTTTTAGTCAGGAACCGTTCCTGACTATATGTAAATCTGCTTATGCAAAGAATTCCTAGCTATTTATTCGAAGGTTAGATATCTTTGAAAAGCCTTGCGCAGTGCTGGGCCATGTATCAGGCCAGCTGCATTTTAAAGACGAGAAAGAACACCACAAAGCACAGCGTCAACCCCAGTGAATCTTGATAATTCGTGATTCCTTGTCATGATGCGCGACATGGATGCCTAGATCTTGAAGGAGTAGGCGTTGATGAAAATTACCTGGTCGCACGCATATTTACACATGGCACCGCATCGCACTATTAACTATGAACTTGACAAGAACCTGCCAACTATCTGAAATTACATGGCTGATAAAGCAGTGCCTGCAGCAGGTATGCGATGCCAGCACTAGGGTACCACTTTCGCGTTTTGGGGCGGTCAAAGCATTGCGATGATGACTATGGCATAAGATGTGACAGACGTGGCAAACTGTGGCAATGTTGATGTTCTGGAGCTCAGGGCCTGTGCCATCAACATCATGAATATCATTTCCTCGTTTGCCTGGATCTCCCAGTTCACGCCACTTGGCTCTCACAGTGGTCATTCACATCGCTGGCAAACATTGTTTGTCGTCTCCCAGGAGTACCTATGCATAAGATCAGTGCATCAGAAACATTAGCTGCATTGGCTACTCTAAAGCATTGCCAACAAGGGGTTCAAGGAGGTCAAGTATAGTTTGCATTCTGAAGACCTGACAATAGACAAGTTCCATCAATCTCCGCGATCTCCTCGCCTCCTTGAGAACGCCAACAGCGTTGTTGGAATCTTGTGACAGATGGATACAGATGGATCAAACCCAGGTCGCTGGCTGTGTCTGACTGCTGGGACAAGGGAAGTCAGAAGGCCTTGTGCGCGGCCGACATCTCTGCGGCTTGCATGCGTTCAAAGATGATCAAACATGATCAGCCAATTTTCGTAGGTTGCAAATGACTTCGAGGATTTTGCAGTTTGGTTCTTTTGAAGAGTTGAATATAGTTGAATCAAAAAATGTGTCCAGACTCCACCGTGATAGCAAGTGTGTGGTCACGCAGACACTAGTTCTTTTTTGGTAACGGGAACAACTTTCTGTTTAATGCAGCTCACCTGCCAGTCTGTCAGCCTGCCAGACTGGACTTGGGTGAGCCTTTATTCATCTGAGGACATGGTTGCAGCGGTGACGAACGGTCCTGCTGCAGGCATTGCAACCACCTCCGTCACTCAGCTGCAAAAAGATGTTCACAGATGTGGAGAGAGATCGTGAGAGACTGTGGGGGACCGTGAGAGACCGCGAGAGACCATGACAGACCGTGAGAGACCTGTTGTTTTCTTGCTTCAGGATTGTGGGTTTCGAATGCATGCTTAAATACTGCATTGTTTGGCACTTGTTTCCGAGGATTGTGCAGACATGCCAGACCCGGTTGAAGAGGAGAAACACTTGCCAATGGACTAAGTCCGGGCCTGTCTTCTTGATACCAATGCCATGGTTGGCCACCGAACTTGACATGAGGTAGGATCTCGACTTCGTAGCTGCGTTTAGGCGCGTACTTTGCCAGGGATCTTCCCTCTTGAATTCGTCCAGTTGGGGACTGGACCTGCTGATGGCCGGGACAGATTGAGCGAAAGCTGTTTCATCTGTTTTGACCTTGATGCAACTTCTTTGCACGCAACACCATGTTGCCACCTGCTCTAACGAGCAGTTGGTGGGACTTGTACTATCTTGTACTCATTGAGAACCTTCACTTCTTGGGAGAAACTTTGAGCGATTGAGCTGGGTTGCGGAGGTCGGCTGTGTCGGGATTTTATTGAAACATTTTTTTTGCACCTTCGGAACATGGAACTAAAGATTCAAATCCAAATGGTTAGGGGTTGAAGATTGACCCACTTATAGTTCCCAGCCGAGGGGTTGCTCTCCAATTCATGGATGATGGATGCATTGTTCAAACATCATCAAAAACTATGAACATCATTCACCAAGAGATGACAAAGAATATCATGGAGATTCAACCCACCCCCCGAAAATAGGTGACCCCCAAAAAACCAAGGTTTATCAAACCATCGATTATAGAATGGGCTAACGCCCTGGTGCCGCCGACCCCTTTTCAAGGGTGGAGGAAGAAGTATAGCCACTCAAGACAGGGCAAATAGACCATCGAACGGTCTGTGGGAAGCAGTTTTCTGTCAAGGACGGCGTTGTGCAGGAAAAAGTGTATGTTTACATTTGCCCCGCTTGCAAAGGGAATGTGGCCAGTGACGTCAAGACAGGGAAAATAGACCATCGAACGGTCTGTGGGAACCAGTTTTCTGTAAAGGACGGCGTTGTGCAGGAAAAAGCGTATGTTTACATTTGCCCCGCTTGCAAAGGGAATGTGGCCAGTGAGGTCAAGACAGGGCAAATAGACCATCGAACGGTCTGTGGGAACCAGTTTTCTGTAAAGGACGGCGTTGTGCAGGAAAAAGCGTATGTTTACATTTGCCCCGCTTGCAAAGGGAATGTGGCCAGTGACGTCAAGACAGGGAAAATAGACCATCGAACGGTCTGTGGGAACCAGTTTTCAGTCAAGGACGGCGTTGTGCAGGAAAAAGCGTATGTTTACATTTGCCCCGCTTGCAAAGGGAATGTGGCCAGTGACGTCAAGACAGGGAAAATGGACCATCGAACGGTCTGTGGGAACCAGTTTTCTGTAAAGGACGGCGTTGTGCAGGAAAAAGCGTATGCTTACATTTGCCCCGCTTGCAAAGGGAATGTGGCCAGTGACGTCAAGACAGGGAAAATAGACCATCGAACGGTCTGTGGGAACCAGTTTTCAGTCAAGGACGGCGTTGTGCAGGAAAAAGCGTATGTTTACATTTGCCCCGCTTGCAAAGGGAATGTGGCCAGTGACGTCAAGACAGGGAAAATAAACCATCGAACGGTCTGTGAGAACCAGTTTTCAGTCAAGGACGGCGTTGTGCAGGAAAAAGCGTATGTTTACATTTGCCCCGCTTGCAAAGGGAATGTGGCCAGTGATGTCAAGACAGGGCAAATAGACCATCGAACGGTCTGTGGGAACCAGTTTTCTGTGAGGGACGGCGTTGTGAAGGAGAAAGCGTATGTTTACATTTGCCCCGCTTGCAAGGGGAATGTGGCCAGTGACGTGAAGACAGGGCAAGTAGACCATCGAAGGGTCTGTGGGAAGCAGTTTTCTGTCAAGGACGGCGTTGTGAAAGAGAAAGGTGGTAAACGGCAAGCTGGAACGCCGAGAAGAAGCTATTGATCTGGCTTCGGGGTATCGTTTGAATTGTGTAAATGCTGGCAAACGGCAACCTTGGACGCCTAAGAGAATTGATGTGTGGCCTTGGGGTGGCTGTTGGCTGCAGGATGAAGCATGCCAAGTAAGCGTTTTAAGGGTTTTAAGGGTTTTAAAGGTTTTAAGCGTTTGGAGGGTTTTAAGGGTTTAAGGGCTGGCAAGCGGCAGGCTTGGACGCCCATAAGAAGCCATTGATGTGTGGCCTCGGGGTGGCTGTTGGCTGCAGGATGAAGCATGCCAAGGGATTGTTTAAGCAGCCCATAAGAAGCCATTGATGTGTGGCCTTGGGGTGCCTGTTCATGCCAAGTCAGCGTTTTCAGGGTTTTAAGGCTTTGAAGCGTTTGGAGGGTTTGGAGGGTTTTAAGGGTCTAAGGGCTGGCAAACGGCAGGCTTGGACGCCCATAAGAAGCCATTGTTTAAGCGGCCCATAAGAAGCCATTGATGTGTGGCCTTGGGGTGGCTGTTGGCTGCAGGATGAAGCATGCCAAGTGAGCGTTTTAAGGGTTTTAAGGGTTTTAAGGGTTTTAAGCGTTTGGAGGGTTTTAAGGGTTTAAGGGCTGGCAAGCGGCAGGCTTGGACGCCCATAAGAAGCCATTGATGTGTGGCCTTGGGGTGCCTGTTGGCTGCAGGATGAAGCATGCCAAGGGATTGTTTAAGCGGCCCAGAAGAAGCCATTGATGTGTGGCCTCGGGGTAGCTGTTGGCTGCAGGATGAAGCATGCCAAGTCAGTGTTTTAAGGGTTTTAAGGTTTTTAAGGGTTTGGAGGGTTTGGAGGGTTTTAAGGGTTTAAGGGCTGGCAAACGGCAGGCTTGGACGCCCAGAAGAAGCCATTGATGTGTGGCCTTGGGGTGCCTGTTGGCTGCAGGATGAAGCATGCCAAGGGATTGTTTAAGCGGCCCATAAGAAGCCATTGATGTGTGGCCTCGGGGTGGCTGTTGACTGCAGGATGAAGCATGCCAAGTCAGCGTTTTAAGGGTTTTAAGGTTTTTAAGGGTTTGGAGGGTTTGGAGGGTTTTAAGGGTTTAAGGGCTGGCAAACGGCAGGATTGGACGCCCATAAGAAGCCATTGATGTGTGGCCTTGGGGTGCCTGTTGGCTGCAGGATGAAGCATGCCAAGGGATTGTTTAAGCGGACCATAAGAAGCCATTGATGTGTGGCCTTGGGGTGCCTGTTCATGCCAAGTCAGCGTTTTAAGGCTTTTAAGGTTTTTAAGGCTTTGAAGCGTTTGGAGGGTTTGGAGGGTTTTAAGGGTCTAAGGGCTGGCAAACGGCAGGCTTGGACGCCCATAAGAAGCCATTGTTTAAGCGGCCCATAAGAAGCCATTGATGTGTGGCCTTGGGGTGGCTGTTGGCTGCAGGATGAAGCATGCCAAGTAAGCGTTTTAAGGGTTTTAAGGTTTTTAAGGGTTTGGAGGGTTTTAAGCGTTTAAGGGCTGGCAAACGGCAGGCTTGGACGCCCATTAGAAGGCATTGATGTGTGGCCTTGGGGTGCCTGTTGGCTGCAGGATGAAGCATGCCAAGGGATTGTTTAAGCGGCCCATAAGAAGCCATTGATGTGTGGCCTTGGGGTGCCTGTTGGCTGCAGGATGAAGCATGCCAAGGGAATGTTTAAGCGGCCCATAAGAAGCCATTGATGTGCGGCCTCGGGGTGTCTGTTGGCTGCAGGATGAAGCAAGCCAAGTCAGCGTTGTAAGGGTTTTTAAGGGTTTTAAGCGTTTTAAGCGTGGTCAATGATTTGAACTGCTACTACAGGAATGCGGGAACGGCTGCTTTGGGCTTGAAAGACAAAACCTTCAGACAAAACCATCCGGAGGAAAACTTACTTGCCCAAAGCATGTAATTTTCATGTCCAAATGCCTGGAAGTCTTAACTGGAGGACGAAGCATGCCAGGAAAATGTTTACGCGATGTGGCCTTGCGCCGGCTGGCTGGCTGCGAGGTGGGTTTGACCTTGGAAAGCGAAGAAGGAGCCTTGAAAGACAAAACCTTCAGACAAAACCTTCCGGAGGAAAACTTACTTGCCCAAAGCATGTAATTTTCATGTCCAAATGCCTGGAAGTCTTAACTGGAGGACGAAGCATGTAATTTTCATGTCCAAATGCCTGGAAGTCTTAACTGGAGGACGAAGCATGCCAGGAAAATGTTTACGCGATGTGGCCTTGCGCCGGCTGGCTGGCTGCGAGATGGGTTTGACCTTGGAAAGCGAAGAAGGAGCCTTGAAAGACAAAACCTTCAGACAAAACCTTCCGGAAAACTTACTTGCCCAAAGCATGTAATTTTCATGTCCAAATGCCTGGAAGTCTTAACTGGAGGACGAAGCATGCCAGGAAAATGTTTACGCGATGTGGCCTTGGGGCAGCTTGCTGGCTGCGAGATGGGTTTGACCTTGGAAAGCGAAGAAGGAGAGGTTCCACACCTGCGGTGGTCCCAGGCGCCGCCCCTGCCTTGGCCAAGGCCGGGGTCGGCGGATATATATAATTATATATATATATATTTCTGATGGTTCTTTTGAGCACTTATTTTCCATTCAAATCCCTATGATGTCGTTGCTCAAACATTAGCAAATTGTCATCTAGTTCTAGCGGCTCATCTCTCTCATTTCCAAGTCCCCATGCTTTTTCTGGTGCTAGATAATCCCCATGCCAATCAAGTTTCTCTAAACTTTCATACCAAACCATGGTGACCCATACGTTGCCATCCATAATTTCTGTTGGTCAACAATTTCTCTTGGTTCAACCTCCAATTTTTGGCACCATTAACCCTACGTACCCTACTTGTAGATAACTCTGGCTATCGCCCATTTACTACCCTTTCGCAATCAAACATGTCTTGATGGGAAATCCGCTTGAAATATTGATGATTTTCCCAGCTATAAACTCCCCATATTTTCCCATGATTTTCCCATTCAAACCCTCCATTTATAGGGTGCAATCCAGCCATGTTTGATCGGGCGAAGCGCCAGGAGCCGCTGGTGGTACTGGACCTCTGCGACATTTTGGTCTTGGCAAAGCCACCGGGCTGGGAGGTCTACGACTGCAACGCGGAGCGGCAGCTGGCGGAGTTTCTGGTGAACCTGGAAAGTGCCCGGGGCGTGGAGCATCGGGTCAATGTGAAGGGTAAATTCCATAGTAAGAGCCCCTCAAAAGATGGAGCATGGGGTTTCCACCATTTTTTTCCACGGATTTTCACAAAAAAATAATGCACAGGAGACCATGGATTTGAGCTTCCAAAAAACGTGTTTCCTATCAAAAAATCACCAGTGCTTGAGTCTGGAACTAACCATTAGAATTTATTGCAGCTGGGTTGAACAACCGTTTACTGGGGTCTCAGATGTTTGGAGGACACCCATCTTGCATTTTTCAATTGATCCTGGTCCTGCTTGGCTACTGGCTACCGGAAAGATTTCTGTGCCCCCAAAAAGTTTTTGTAAAGGTACTGCACTGCAATTAGATTCTAGGCTGGAAGTTTGATGGCTTGGAAAGGCTTTGGAACAGCTTGGTGTTCACTATGGTTTGGTACCCCAACTTTCTTGGTAGTGCCATCCGACCATGCAATCCTGTGGGCTGGAGATGCTCAGGGGGGCAGCTGCCTATTCTGACCGATTTCAAGCACGGGTGCGGCTTCATTCACCGCTTGGATGTGCCCAGTTCAGGCTTGGTCATTGCTGCCAGCACCTATGACCCTTTGGCTTGGCTGTAGGTTGACCCTGCAACAATTGGGATGTGATGAGGTTGCAGGTCATGCAAAATGGTGCCAGTTCCTGCCATATAGGGGCTGAGATTCAGACCTCCAGCATGGCGATTGATGGGCAAACCGCAAACCATCATTTCCGTGAAAAAAAACAATTAATTACCTCCAGACACGCGACTTCCATATTGGTTATCCACATGTGTTCCCCCAAAACTATGCCTCCACGGCTTGATTTCCCCATCTCGACAGCCCATGACATCCCCAAGGAAGCCTGGTATCACTTGCAGCTTCAGTTGGTCACCGGCACCTTGCTGCGTGAGTACCTGGTGTTAGCACATGGTTTGGCACCTGGACGTCCGGAGATTTCTGCCTACATCCGCTGGAATGAAGATGCGGTTGCCTCTGGAACCTTTGGGAAGCTTGGCCACGGGAACTGGGAGACTTAAGAGACAGATGCAGATTTTTCATGATTTTTCTCAGCAGAATGCTCAATCAGGTAAGTGGAAATTGACACTGAGAGTTGAGCACGAAAATGTAATGGTAAAACTCAGCAGTACATTATCCCCAATGACTTATATACTAGATATGGGTGGTATAGATAAATCGATGCCCATCTAGGCGTTCTATGACATGTGATATATTTGCAGCTTTCCAATCCTTTGATTCTATTTCCCAAGCCCTTATATAATTACACGCACACACATGTACACACACACACATATATATAATTATGTATTTATATGTACACACACACATCTGTATATATATATATATAAATTACACATGTATCAAAATGAATGCGTGTGTACTGCTTTGGTACAAGTATCTTTAGACATGTTTAACCGGATCACCGAAATCCCGGCCTCCCAGGAAGCCTTCCAAGACGCTTCTGCACGTGGTGGGCCATGTGACGCAAGGGCCGCGCAGCTTCAGCATGCTGGTGATTCGCATCGTCACGGGGCGGAAGCATCAGATCCGGAGCCACCTCGCGTGGTGGGGCCATCCCAGCGTCTGCGACACTTGGAGAAATGGATAATGGGTATGGCTTGTTGATGGGATTTGGTGGACCTGGGATTTCTGCAAGGATCCTGGCTGGAGGTATCTCTTCCGATCGCGATCTGTCGTGTGCATGTTGTCTAGCAATTGATATCTTTTGGAACCGAGGGAGCAGGGGATGGTCCTCTTTCAAAAGGAGAGTGTTTTAAAGTCCACGCGCCCTCAAAGCCATAATAGCACACATACAGTACCATTTTTTTTTGAAACTTGGCTTGAGTTTGAGTTGGAGGGAGCAGCAGAGACAATTCCTAGGGTTCTGTTCATTTTCCATCTATCCCCTTTGGTCAGGATGGCAAGTATGCCACCAGACGCACTCTGACGGAAGACTTTGGACTGTGCCGCCGAAACTTTCTACACCGATGCCATCTGTCCTTTGTTGACACCGGGGGCGATGGACCCCACCACGTGTGGCAGCCCCTGGCGGCAGATCTGGCGATATCTCTGGGGGAAATGAGGGCCATCGGCAAAAACCAAGCCGCCAAGGTGGCGTGGTGTCATGGAACGCCGCCACTGCACGAATTCATGGCACAATTCTGGGCAGAAAAGGAGCTGCACCTGCCATTTAGAGGTGGAGATACTGAGTGACATTGGACAACCCACTGCTGGACCATCTGTAGAACATTTTCCCTAGTCGCAATGAATTTTGGGGTTGCCTACAATGTGGAAACGTGGAATGTGGCAGCTCGGCTGCTAACAGCTAAGGGAACACGGGGTAGCGTTGCCTGTTCCACTTGCGACACGACCCAGGGAAGAAGCCTTTATGCCAGTTGGATGCAGCCTCAGATGCTTTGCCTGTTTTGATTGAACTCCCCAGATGAAAACTTGCATAAAAAAGAACAGCAACAAAGAGCATTTCACAGAAAATTGGCGGAAACTCGTTTTTGAACGAAGAGACATTTGGCTTTCCTTTTGATGGGTTGGATCACTATCCCAGGGTTTCCAAGCAGGATGGTTTTGTCCCCCCCCGTCCTCCCCCTCTTTAGGGGTAGGGATTGCAAAGAGCTGAGCAGAGCTGAAAAGGGGCAAGAAAAAACAACAACAGTTTTGACTCCACTCTGACCATGGCATCCCCAGCTTCAAATGGTTTGAGGTCCAAACTGGGTCAAGACGCAGCTGGGAACGCCAATCCCGCAGTTGCCTGGCGTGCGGCATCCCAGATCGGGTTTTCGACCATAGCGACCTGATTGAAGGATATGATATGGGGTTGTAGATTTGGAAGGCAATTGCGATTTCGACTATGACTTTTGAGAATGATGAAGACAAGCAACCCCAATCATTTACCGTACATTGAATTAGTTCTGCGTTGGCCGAGGTTTGGTACATGCACGAGCGGCAAAACCAGGAAGGTGGGGCGCTTAGATTTCAGAGGGCCGGCCTGTGAGGCAGGCTGTTGGGGTCAGTTACTCGAATTGAAATCAGCTTTGATGCACCTGCTTCAGGCAAGCACCAGCCCTGGCTGTTCTTCAATGCCTCTCTTGGCAGGTGCCATTGCCAGATGAGCCATGGTCATCTGGGGTCAGCTCTAGGTAGTTGCTAGCTCCCGGGTGTGACCTGACATCCAGGTACTTCCGTCAACGTGGAGATGCAGGGGGAAAGTGGCCGACCTTAGATCTCCTAGAAGTGCACTGATTCCATTCATGTTGTGGGTTGGTGTGTTGCCTTCCACAAAGGATCGTTGTTTTTCCATTTGTTCGGCTGGGATTTTGGTTTGGAGCTGCTTGGTGTGACCATAGGGCCGGCTCTGATATGCCATGGGGTTAGCTTTGATGGAATATCAGCAACCCATCAAAACAATTCAAAACAATCCCCCAGCAAATTCAAGCTACAGAGTTGGTGGCCACAAGCACTATACAGAGGCTTCCATTTTAGTCAGGCTAACCCTGAGATGAAATCCAGGTCCAAGATTTTGTAGCTTAAACTTGTGAATATCATTTTATACAGGAGTCATTTTAGTCATGTTAGCCCATCATGAAAACCGCAGTGGCATTTTGTAGCATGACATGATGAGCTTCATACGGGCTTATAAAAATCAAACGGGCATTTTGTAGCTTAGATGTGGTTCAAGCAATCCGTTGCAGAGCCGCCGCAATACAATGAAAAGGACCAAGCAGATTCAAACAGAACAATTCTGCATGATGATGCATGAATATGCATGATCTGTATTGATCTATGTTGATCTGTGATGAATGATGATGCTTGATGAATCTTGGTGGATGATGTTGAAAACAACGTTGCATTTTGTAGCAACGATGTTCCTTTGCATATGCAGTCCTTGAAAATGAGATTGGCATTTTGTAGCAAAGGGTATGTCCTTGTATGATACAGTTGTTGAAAACGAAGGGGCATTTTGTAACAAGGGAAAACCTCCCCCTATGTCAAGGTTGTTGAAACGAAGGGGCATTTTGTAGCTAAGGCTATTTTCGAGAAAAATGGAGCTCAGCAACCTCATTCTATAGCCCCAAGCTTGTGAATCTTGTTTATGCCTTGCAGACCAGGGGTCACAACGTCTCCCCTAAAATTCGATGGGGGATTCAAAACATATTTCATCAACACGTACTGAACCCCCATTGTCATGTAAGATAACCTGCTCCAACCCCCGAACATTCATGATAATGATCACAATCAAAATCATCATCACAGCCGTCATCACGATAATTCAATTATAATGAAATATAACAACAATAACACTGATAACAATGAAATACAACTACAAATAATAATCATCGCCCGGATCAAACTTTCAACCTGAGCCAAGCCTTGTTCCATGTCTTTCTCCGCATTTCTCCGCAGTTTGGCTCGGGCCAACGGCCTCTTTTCCTCTGGGCAAAAAACGTGTCTCTGCTGATTGAGGGCATGATCCCATGGCTGAAGCCGATGCGGTGAATCGCTTTTGCCAGAAGAGACCCGGCCCCACGATGGTGGGGACGACAGGGACGATGCCTTGGAAACCACCGGTGGTTTTTAGCATCAACCTATGAAGATCGGAGGAAATCATGGTTTCACCCCCTTGGTGGGTTGTGGAGGGTGTGTGATAAGGACACGGTGTAGATCAGAAGTCGGAACATTGGTAGGTTGTAGGGTGGCAGATGATATGCATCAATTTATTGATATATATATATATATGTATATATATATATATACACACATATATATATATACATACATATATATATATACATATGTATATATACACACATATATATATATATACATATACATATATATATACATATATATATATATATACATATATATATATATTGATACATATGTATGTATATACATACACATAACAGAAGAACAATATAATATAATATCATATAAAATGATATAATATAGTATTTTTATATGAAATGATCGTGAGCATCTCTGCGTGTCCCAGTCATTTTGACAGACCATCCTGGGGTTTCCCAGGAAGTCGACGCAATTTGAGGCGTGGCTCGGGGCAGGGGGAAGTGGACTCAAATGGAGGTTTCCTAAAATATGGGTGCCCCAAACCATTGGTTTTCGCGTTGATAATACCATCTCGTTATTTAACATAGCCATGGAAAATCCCTTATAAATGGAGGTCTTAATGGGAAAATCATCTATAAATGGGCAATTTTCCATGGCTATGTTAAATAACCAGAGGGTATCCAAATTTGGATGATTTCTGGGTTCCCCCAGTTTAGGAAACCTCCGGAGCAAATGACCTGCATCGAGGTCTCCTTTTCTCCGGCGTCCACGGGCTTCTCATGTCGGACCCACAGCTGTGATGTTGAAGTGTGAATGAGTCCCAAAACGGGGGGATACATCAACAATACGGGTTTGAAACAGGAGTATTCCCGAAGAAATCCAGTAGTGATGATGGACCATGATAAACCGCTAGATTTTGCGATAGCATGTCTTTCGGCAAACCCATGCTACATGACATCGCGTTTCCCCTCCAAAATTCGCCAGCAGCTGAGGCACATTCGGCATCCCAGGCTGGTGCCGGAACTCTTCAATTTGGAACATATTTTAACATCATGGAAAATGAAAACCCATCAAAAAGCAATGCGCAACCGGAACATCCTCTTCGGCATCCCCATTTGGGAAACCAGACATTTCAAGAGCTACTCGGCCTCCTGCCTCTCAGCTCCTGCAGGTGTGCAGAAAGTGTGCCATGCAGCGGGTTCCAGTGTCCTGGCTGTGCGGGTGGACCTTGATCAGAAGGGTCCCCTGGTCTCCCCCTGGAAACGCTCTCTGGGATGGTCAGTGCTAGACACCATAAATATTCGCAGCAAAAAATCATCCGGGATGACACTGAAGTTAGTATACGCTAGAAATTGGGTGATAACTATATATGAATCAAATTTGAATCTATATCAGTTATAGATTATAACCCCTTAGGGTTGGATTTTTTCGTGAAATATTTCGAAGATGTCACCAATTTTCACAGGAACCAGTTCCAGCTGCAACCATCCCAGCCAGGTAAGAAAAACGCCCAAGCGTCAGAGCCTCAGTGGTCGCAGGGATCCTCCACCAGCAATGGCGCAGCCGCACGCCAGGGCGGCGCTGAAGCAGATGTACGACTTCCTCTCCAGAAGTGGGATGTTGGATCAAGTGTTGGCGCCGCTGATCTGCAGCTTCGTGTCTTTGTGTTTTCTCTTGCCTTTGGGGCTCGTATCAATATGATTCTTTGGGAGGTGGAAAACCACTATATAGCCAGTTCTAGAGCGTTGGAGAACCAACACAACCAACACATCCTGTATAGTTCGTGGTCTTAGTCAGGGCAAGGCACAGTATTGGTGTCCCCCACACAACCACCCACATGGCGCGGCTGGGCACCCCACTGTAGCTGTAAGTGACTGGGATAGCTGGAAGAGCGTGTCCATGATGGGTGCCCTTGACTTAGGGATGGCCCTGCAACGAAAAAGCGCAAAGTGGCGGAAAAGAGCCCAGTGCTTGACCAAGCCGCCGCGTATGTCTGCGACTCAGTATATAGATAGGGGTCATCGGGAACCGATAGCAAGACGAGCCATATTTTCTCAGCTATCAATGTGGATAATGTGGGGACGTCTGAAAGTAAGGAACTCCACAAATCCGATGGTTCAAAACTTCATTGTCCCTCATAGAAATTGTCCTTTTGGGCTATCTGCCATGTTGAGACAGACCCATTTGCTTCACATCATCTTAAATCATCTCAAATCATCCTAAATCCCTAATTTCTGCCGATGAAATCCACATTTTGGGTCCATTGGTCGGGTCCCCGTGGCCAGGAGCCGTGGTCGCCCCCGGTCATCCCCGCGCGCGGGATGATCCCCCGAGGGACGGTGCCTCCCAGGGCCGGCCTTGCGGCCGGCCTGGCGGCGGGCCCGGCACCGCTGCGGCCGGGGGCAGTGCCGGGGACATCTGGAACCGTCGGCAGCTGAGTTGGGGCGGAGTAGGTCAGTTGGTCCTGTAACATGATTTTTTCCATATTTTTCCAGGATAAATTCTGATAAATGATTTATTGTTATATAAAGTTGATGTTAGTCAAGCAATGTCCTAAACTGTCACTATTCATAATTTAGATGGTGTACACCCATCAGAATGGTAAGATTGGGGATGGTGGATCGTATTACTAACATTTATATAAGTAGTTTTCGGGGGTCTATGTCACAGAATTGCAACATTTTTGGAATATTATGATGAACCACGGGGTTTGGGGGTCCTCTAAATAGAAACCCATGAGCTGCATGGGTGCCCAGGCCGAGAGGCACAAAACGGCGGTGAATACCGAGGCTTCCGTGAAACCGGCAGCACCGCAGTGTAGGCCTTAGTGTTTCATTCGGCTCAAGATTTGTTGCCTTCCATTCGTAGGGGATGGGCGAGACGTAGGGGATGGGCGAGATATTCTGGTTCAAGTGGGTGTTAAAAAGATATAAAAAAATATGAGTAAACAAAAAGACAATTGTGAACCAGTATCTTTGATACAAAGAAAAGGCAGCACCCGCTTGTCCTTCTAAGGTCGCCCGCCGCCCCAGTGGAGGACGACGCTGGCAACTTCACTTTGGCCATTGCGCGGGGGCATCTGAACGAGCACCTGAAGAAGTGGCAACACCGACCTGTTTCCCATGGGAAAACTCCACCCAGTCGAGGGAAGATTTGGGAGATGGGTTGGAGGTCTCAGGGATGGTATCGCACATCATGGTATACCTGAAGTATCATTATGAATTCATTACTGGATGTTTGGGATATTCTTTGCCGTGGTTGGGTGATTTTCATGGGAAGTTTCCCATGACGAACCAGCAAGCCTTCGAGTGGCCAGGGGCCAGCGCACCGACATCAAGGTGGTGGCGGATGGCCCCTCGCATGCGCCGACCTTCAAAGCCATGCTGTCATTTCAGGCTTTGGAGATGTTTGGACTTTGGAGAAGCTTGGGTTTGTCCAAAAATGGAGCCACGAACATGGCAACTTGGAGAAGGACCGTGTTGAGAAGCCATGGGATTTTGGGGCGCTCTATTTTCAAACGAACAAATATGATAGCCATGATTCGCCCAAGCTCCCATGGCCTTGCACCGGGTCAAGCCATGCCACGCCAGCTTTGGAAGGTCAAAGGTCAGCGTTTCAACGAAATGCCGCACACTCAAGGGGATTCCAGGCATCAGGCCTTCAAGAAACAAACCTGAAACGAAGCAAACGTGATCAGATCTGGCAAATGGTCTGCATCACATTTGGCAACCTGGAAATGATCTGCAATCCAGTGATTTTTGATTGCTATCCTTGAAAAAACGGGCAAGTGATGGGGTCATGGCTTTCACTTTTGGCCCCCTTCATTTTCGATCTCGAAAATAGAGGCTCGTCATGGTCACTGCCGACGACCTCTTGGCAGTTCCAAGGCATCATGCCGGCAGCAAGAAGCAAGCGACCAATGAACTGGCCCTGAAGGCCTGATCTGAAGAAATCGAACTTGGATTGGGGTCACATTTACAGGAAAACGATCCCCCAAAAACAGTGGTTAACATATTATAAAAAATTAAAAAACGTAAAACAGCTTCAACTCCCATGGTTTCCTGTAGATTTTGATCCAAAAAACGACCCATCCCGGAATCCCATGATGTGGCCAGGTGTGCCGGAAGCTCTTCGCCAGGGGCCTGCTGCCAAAGTACAAGAGGAACTCCACCAAGGGAACGCCCAAGACCTCAGGAACCACAACGAAGATCGTCACGGAGACACCGTTGAGGCTACCCTCTGGTTATGTCAAAATAGCTATTGAAAATGGCCATAGAAATAGTGGATTTTTCCAGTAAAAATGGTGATTTTCAATAGTTATGTTAGTTTACCAGAGGGTATTGTTTCCAAAATAGCCAACTGATATCAACTCTCAACTCTCGGTTTTTTGGGAGGATTTATGGAAACATATGGAAACACTTGGAAGCCAATAGGCCCTAGGCAATACCCGTAACACCAATATTTTTTTGGATGGTTAGTTGTCTATGAAATATTGGATCATATCACCTGGTTGAGTAGGGATTTTGAACAGACTAACCCATATGAACCAGCGACAATTTGGGCTATGTTTCATGGCTCAACGCTTTCAAAACCGCCTGAGGTTCTTCGATAACTTGAAGGACAGCCAGTACTTCGAGAGTTCCTCCTTTGGCGTGGGACTGCCACTTGGATTTGATTGATTTCGTTTTGCCATATGGCTCCACAATAGACATGTATGGAACATGTTACACCATACCACATAGTATGTACATATATGTTATCTGACCATATATGTATATCATATATCCATTTGTGCCATCTTGATTCAACAATACAATGTCATTTCATCCCGCTTTAAAATGCTGCGGCCAATCCCAAACGACTCCGCTGATGTTCAGCCGCCCTCCATGGTCGGACCACGTTAAACTCAGGCCGCCACATCTCAAGGACGGGAAAGGTGGAAGCAGAACCCCAAAACATCCCAAAACCACATAGAAATCGCCCTAAAGAATCGTGTAATGCGCCCTAAGAAGGTTATACAAATGAGGTGCCAGGCCAACAGCCGAGCAGTACTTCGCAATTGCCAATGCTCCAATGAACCATGGCTTTTGCTCAAAACATTGGCGGCCCCAAGTCCTTAGCCGCACCAGAAAAGACCAACTTCTTGGGATTTTGGAGCGGGAAGACTCGAGCCCAGGGACGATTCATGAAGGATGTTAGGCCGAACCCGCCAGGAGAGGTTGCGCAACTATTTGGAACAACATAGCTATGAGGTGCTTCTGGGTGGATGGGAAGCTGAAAAAATCGCTGGAAATCTGATGGAACGTTGACCCTCTTTGACATCTGATTTTAGAGATTATCCTGCCGCCGTTTGGGGCTTCAGCTTCGAGATTTGGGGCGTGCCGCTCGGCAGTCATTGACGGATTGCACAACTTGGGGATCTCCAAGGTGTTTAAAATTGGGCTTAGATCCCCCCCTAACGAGTTTCAGTCTGCTCACAGGTGTCAGGCAACCTTAATGGATTGGACGAATTCACCATAAATTCATTGCATCAGTATATCTAGGCTGAGAGCAGACACGAACTATGACAAACTTGCAGTGAAACTGGAAGCAAGTCGCAAATCGCTAGCCTCAGACCCACCCACAATAGGGTCTTTTTGTGTCAGCCACGCTCCAAATACGGAATCGCAGATTCTGCCCTGCATGCAAGGACAGGGTTCGACTGGCTCATGAGCTGCAGATAGCATCCTGTGCTTTTGAAAAAGGTTATATTCTGTCAAATTGCAGGGGGTATCAAGAAAGATGAACAAGTCTCCCAGGATCTGAACCAGATTCTATTTCCCGCTGTTTCTCCCCATCAGGTTTCCAACATGCCCGTTCCACATGTGAAGCGTACCCGCAATTCTGTGGGTCAACATTTACTTCGCCTACAGTAGAAACGCACCTTTTGTTGGCTAACATTTCTCCTTCACAAACATATTTTCCTAATTTTTCCTATCCAATGAAGTAGATTGTCAGCACACATCTTCATGAAGTATTAAAAGAAAGCAGATCCTGTAGACAACCATCCGCTCACCTGTCATCAAGTATATACATAATTAATCATAATTATTATTATACATATTTATACATTATCTAACAGGTTTTTTCCACTCTGTTTCTTAATGGCTTGAAACATGTTGAAACCGCCAGATGAGTGTCGGCAGGACGGCACGGCACCCTGGGTGCCTCGAATCCCATGTGGCGTCGTTTGGCATGATGGCGGTATACACCAACCGTGATAATTCACTGGTTTTACACAAATAGAGGTGCAATATCATGCAATTTTGGATTTCACGGTTCTACCTTGTAGACATAGAGAAACCATGAAAAACACCAATTTCAAGTCCATAGAAAAGGATACAACTGGAGGTGGGAAAGATTAAGGAGTTCCCAACAAAATGTGAGAACACACCATGTTCTATTCGTTCAGAAGTGTTACAATGACCCAAGTTGGACTACGTTTTGAGTTGGAGTTTTATGGTGTATCCATCCTGGAGAACCCCTTGCCAGACGTAATGTGGAATGGGGCCAGAGCAGGCTGATGATCCAATGTCCAATGTCCAATGACCGGACATAAGGGCTTAGGATAAGAGATCTCCGACCTATCTACTCTACATAAGAATGTCGGTACAAACTGTGATCAGGCATACCTTCGAATTGTAAACTCCTCCCAACCTTGGCACGAAAAACGTGGCTGCGACTCTAATACTGTGACAGCAGTGCTTTTAACTCCCACATGTTTGATATTTTTGATGGTTAAATTAGATCCTAATTTGAATGGTTGATACTTGATGCTCAAAAAAATGTTTTTCTATGTTTTTATCATATGCTTAAATCCCATTGGTTCTTTCGGTCCCCACCTATGGCATTGGTTTTTTCGCCGAGGCCGTCCCCATGGACACCGCGACATGGTGCTGGCAGCGCTGAAGCTGAACGGCTTCGAGTTGAAGTATTGCACTGCGACACTTCAGGCGGACAAGGAGGCGCCGCCCGGGAGGGAACTGGAGAAGGGTGAGCTGGGGATGGTTCAAAGTAGGGAGTTGACCAGGAAAAATACTGGGATGTATCCGATACATATCGAGGATGAGGCTTTAAGCATGAAACATAGGGATTCAACCTTCAAACATCAGTTTTAGTCAATGATGGATATAGGATTTGTCTGAGCATGCATGGGAAGGCCCTCCCAAATTTAATCGTTTGATTTTCCCATAATTAGAAAACCGGTAATCTTGGGGTACACTCCTGGAGATGGCGGTAGAGAGAGAGAGAGAGAGGGAGAGATCTGGTTTGCAGTACGGTCACACTGCACACATGCACACACATACCTCATATACCTAGATACATACCCTCTGGTAAACTAACATAACTATGGAAAATCACAATGTTTAATGGGTAAATCCACTACAAATTGCAATTTTCAATAGCTATGTTAGTTTACCAGAGGGTAACAGATGCACTCCGAAGATGCACTCTGAATTGAAAGAGCAGCTGGATCAATATATGGCCAACCCATGGAATCCCCAAAGCCATCCGAAGCTCCAGGTGGTGCTGACCGCAGTGACGGAGAATGGCAACGCCTTAAAGTACGCCGCCAAAGAGTTGCAAGATGATTGTCCCTTGGGCAATATGAAGTCGTGGGATTAACCATCTTTGGATGGTGAAAAAGATGGTAATATCAACCATCTAAAGATTGGGACTTTACATGACTTAACCATGACTTAACATGACTTAACATGACTCAACATGACTTAACCATAGTAACTATTTGGAGGATCATCCCACGTTTCGAAAGTGGTTAGTAACCATACCATTTTTTCATATGTGGGATAACCAACGAAACGGGTCCTAACCATGGTTCTTAGTCCAATTTTCTGTTCAGGACCACCATTTGAAATGGGCAGTTGGATGATCCCAGCACCATACTGCGATTTATCCATCAAAAACCATGGCTTTTCCCGTGCGGCATCCCGGTATCCCAAGGTATCCCCCATGTTAACCTCTGGTTATGTCAAAATAGCTATTGAAAATGACCATTTATAGTGGATTTATCCATGACAAATGGTGATTTTCCATAGTTTTTTGTATGTTTACCAGAGGGTCACCTAAGAATCCCACTGAGATCATAGCCTTCCGAGGCGACGTGGTCCTGCAGGCCGTGAAGAACAACGGCGCAGCCCTGCGCTTCGCAGGCGACACGCCGCGCGGCAGCCGCCCGGTGGTCATGGAGGCGGTGAGGCTCTGCGGCACGGTGCTGTACTACGCCGCGGAAGCCTTGCAAGCGGAGCCCGAGGTTTTTTTAGCCACCGGGATCGTGGCAGATTGATGATGGGCTTGAACCATGCTGAACCATGGTTAAACGGTTACAAAAAGGTTCGTTGATGGTTTAGTATGAGCATGATGGGGACATGGAGTGCATGATCCAAGTGCACTTAGCAAATTGGTTCAAAAACGAACGGGCTTCGTTCACGTCCGCAAAGTGATAAACGACCACAAAAAAGTACAAAAACGGGTTGGATGGCGTTTCCCGCTTCAGTTGTTTCTTAAATCAATTCCATAAATCGGGTTAACATATTTCCCCACAATTGTTAGTCTTAGATCAAACCCCATTTTGGGATCAATCATGATAAATCCCAGCTTACATTCATTTAAATCCACAGTTTTGCTGGTGAACTCCCCATTGAATTCACAGGTAATGTCTTTCCCAGAGGGCCCAGGGCCTCTGCCAGGTGGTTCTGACCGCCGTCCGCGAGTCTGGCTTAGCGCTGCGCTGCGCTTCGGCGGCGCTGCGCGGGGAGCCGGAGATCGTGCTGGCGGCGGTGGAGGAGAACGGCCAGGCGCTGGAGTTTGCCGCGGAGAGCCTGCGGGATGACCGCCACTGGGCTGGGAGGATCTTGGGTTTTCAGGTCCAAATTTGGAGGTTGGAAGAGTCTCGAGGATTTGGAGGATCTGGAGGGTTTTGACCAACTTTTGGGAACCAACCTCAAACATGCGGGAATGGTTGTGCCACTGGGCTCAGATTGGAGGGATACAGTAGTAGGAACCTCGGTTGTAGGAACGTGAAAACAAGCAGGTTCCTACAGCCTACGAATCTTCAGTTTTTTGTAGGAACCTGGAAATTGGAATCATAGCTGTTGCAGATGATTTTGACGCCTTTTCTTGGTTAAGAGACGGTCGTTTACTGAGATCAAAGGGTTTTGACAATTTTGGTGGGTTGGAAAGCTCAAAACACTGAAGCTCGTATGGGCTACAGTATGTCCTTTTGCTGGGTTCATAGCTGTTCTGTGGATATTTCTTGCAATTTGCAAGCTACAAAGGGCCAAACTCAAGCAAGTAGGTTGATGCGGCTTAAATCAGGTTTAGAAAGAATGCAGGTGTAGCTGGGGCCATGCAGCCTGAACTAAGGATTGGTAAATCCTGGTCCATTGACATATCAACTAGGACCTCGTCCCAGGTAGAACAGAGTCATATCCCTCCATTGAACTGGTGCTTCGGCCCCTAGTAACCTAGTGATTGGGGTATTTATTGCACTGGGTTGGGAAGTTGGATGATGGGTTGGCAACCCTAGCAACCACCCCATTGGTTAAATGTCTGGTCAAATTACCTAGCATGAATCACCATGGTTTATGATTAATTATTGCTGCTATATTGTTTGTAAAGGTTGTGATTTTCTTATACGCTGGCGTTTCCGAGAAAATCCTAATGACTCATTTTATGGTGGGCGAAATGTCCTTTCACTTTGAGGGTTTAGTCTTGCCAATCGCAAGCCAATAAGGATTGTCCTCTGGCAATCAAATATGGCTTGGAACCTCAACTATTTACAGGTGTCCCATTTTGGGTATATTGGACATCACCTTATAGTAGCCATTATAGACCATATACCTAATGGTTGGGTGATGTTCAATGGGGACATTTAATGACCCATGATAAAATTTATAGTTGATTTTCCCAGCTATAGGCTATAACTCCCTCTACTCATAGTGGGACTTTCCGGCCCTGTTTGATTACGGATTTGCTAAAGGTGTTTTTTTTTCTCGCCCCTATTGGTTCATCCACCATCTTGAGGAATATTCTGGGTATATAAATATGAAAGCATAAATAAGTAAATACATAGATAAATATATGAATAAATAAATAAATACATAGATAAATAAAATTAAATAAACAAAATTAAATAAATAAATAACTAACTAACTACATAAATATACGCATATATATATATAATATAATATAATGATATATAAATATACGTGTATATATGCATGTGTACATACATCCCCAAGGCGACATTGTCCGGGCAGCCGTGCGCGAGCTGGGCCCGGCGGCCCTGCGCTTTGCCTCCCCCAGGCTGCGAAAACACCCGGAATTCGCAGCCAGCGCTGCATCTGTGCAGTGAATTCACTGGAAGGTTGACAGATGTTGATTTATGACAATTATGATGATGGATTTCTTTATTTATGCATTTCTTTAGCTGAGCACTTGGGATGATACAGAGAAAGGTTCAGGTTTCCGATGCAACTATTGGTTTCATTGGGGTAAGAAAAGCGGGGACTTTCTTTAGCTGCACAGCAGCTTCCCAAGCCATCAAACCATTCGGTTTTTGAATGTCGAGATTGATCAACATTTGCAGCAAACCTACTGTATGGGATATGTTGCAGCTTGTTATAGCTATAGTCTATAGTGCCAAAAATGTATCCGTTCGTGTTCTGCATATGCAGACAAAGAGTGAGCACCGATGTACATTTACAACGCGTCGTGCCCATGGTTTCGATGCTGGGACATGATCACAAAGCAATCATCATCTGAACCTTGAGCGGAGGTCCTCTTCGAAGTTCCGATATCCGAAATCAATAGGGTCTGAGACTGTTTCAACACTTGCAATGCGTTGCCCTATAGTCATAGTATTGTATGATGGGTTGGTTTACATAGCCAT